TATTATCAAAAGTGATTTGTTTGCAAAGTTATAAAAATATAGTAAAATTGTCTAGATCATATTGTAATGTTTGAATTTATAATAATAAACAAAATATAAATTGAGTTGTTTTAACAAATTACTACTTTTATTGCAAAAAAAGACCTTGTCCCAACATATAGTTGTTAGGGCTCGTATATATACGTTTATAGAATATTATTTTTTCTTAGACGATTTTCTTAAAATAGTAGAAAATTAGACTTGATTCATTTTAATTCTGACCACTCCATATATTAATAGTGAAATCTACATAAACGTAATCATAAACTACAGCAAAAGTCGCCTATTCCTATAAAAAATTCACTAGAAATTACTTTACTGCAGCAAAATTCGTCTTATCCACTTATATTTGCTTTTTATTGTCATTATTGTTGCAAATCCCAATGCATTTTTTCATAAGCTAAGACAAGTATAATATTGTTGCGGACTCGGCCCTCGGACTAATATGCCCCGCTCCCATTCTTACCTCGCGGAATTCGCCAGAAAGACCGAGAACAGCGGCTAAGAAAAAACCGGAATATTCTAGGCTCTCTGACAATTTGAAAACGAACAGTATTTAATATTGCCTCTACCGATCGATGATAGTATGAAAATTTGGCGAAACAAATTTACGTATCAAGGGGAACAATTTTGGAGGCATTTGTTGTCGTGTTGCTTTCAACCCCTTGACCCCCAGGGCACCTACCCCTAAAATTTTAAATAGCAACCCTTATATTTCTTTTACCATATTTGTGTTTCTTATAGAATTCTACATAAACTGCATTATTTTTTTTGAGAATTTTATAAGGAACAAAGGGTAAAAGAAATAGGGGTTGCCATTTAAAATTTTAGGGGTAGGTGCCCTGGGGATCAAAGGGTTGAAAGTAACACGACAACAAATGCCTCAAAAATTGTCCCCCTTGATATGTAAGTTGACGTATTTCGCCAAATTTTCATACTATCACAGATTAGGTATCCTATAAGTATACAGATAAAAATCTTGTCCCTAATTCGTGGTACGAAAATTGTTTTTTATGACGATGTGCAAACGAGTCAAATTTCCTGTGCGCAAAAGTAAACTCGCGTAAAATAACAATAAGCAGCGTAATAGAGAGATATCGCTAAACCGAATAGCGTGCATGGACGTTATTTCCTTTACGTGAGGTGGTATTAACTCTCTTCATTTATAGTTATCGGATCGGAAAGAATTCTGATCGCGTCGCGTCCGCTATTTAAACTTAACCTAACTTTGAATTTAAAACTTTAAAATTGTTTTGTTTACTAGGTATTTTAAAACTAAAGGGCTAAAGTGCTTATTTCCAGTGCTTTATTGTTCAACGTCTGCCAGTGGGGTTAGGGCAACAAGCAACAAATTCTCTTAGAAGGGCCAAGTTGTCATCTGCTGTAAACCTAAGACTCTTTATAGGTTCTTTAGTATTGGAAGAGGTGGAATCCATATTTTGGGCCATATTTATTTAATTAAAACTAATCCCAGCTACTTAAATATCAAATTACCTAATAAAACTAAAGCAATAATTCAAAACAATTCAAACATAACTTAAAATAAAGGATCTCGCCGGCCGGCTCCGGTTGTCAAATACCCGCACATGCCCATTTAAGCAATTTTTAAACGTTATCAGAGGTTATTTAGAAAGAGCGCTTGGTGTAATTGATCCGCAAATTACGTCAGGCGGTAACGTTATTAGCGGGTGTTGCGTTAAAAATTGACTCACGCATATCGTAACCATGATAAGGTACGCGTAAATACTGCATGACGCTATTCGGTTTTCCGATATATCTCTAATAACTGTGCCGGTCAGGCGCTGTGCACAATTTTAGAGGCCATAAGTGGGCGTGCTATGTGCGCAAACTAGTCACCTAACTAGTGCCCGATTCCGAAAATTGGAACCGCGAAAAACAATAAAGAAAAAACAAAGATTATAATCTGTATAATCTGTGATACTATCATCGGTAAAGGTAATATTAAATACTGTTCGTTTTCAAATTGTCACCCTGTATAAACCGAGACCTGTGCGAAGAGGACAGAAACAATCAGATACGGTAATCTTTTCCTAATCCCTTTTAGATAAATAGTTGTAAATAAGTTTTTAAATAGTTCTTTAAATGTTTTATCGTTATTGTTTTGTTACTTAGTGTAAAATAAATTGTGTTTAAATAAATTAGACTTTTTATCCACACGGAACCAACGAAAAACGTAACAATATTACTACTGACGTTTTATCCCATTTCAAATCTTTACCTACTTTTAATAAAATAGCGTATCTAATCAAGTTAGGACGCAAATGCCGTACGATCGAAAAAAACGGCGTGCAGTAAACTGGGAAATACCGATCGGTGACATTTCCCATATAAAATGACAGCGATCTTCATTTCGTTGCCATCGCTGATGCCGTTTTTTTTTCGATCATATTGTATCTTGCTGTAGCAAAACCCGCAATATGCATCATACTGCAACAAAACCCGCCTTATCCAAATTATTTTTGTGTTTTTTTTTTCTTTAAAATTTAAATATTAATTTTTATTTCTAGAAAAACGAGATACAAAAGAATGATTCCACTCAATAGACACGTTTTTTTCTAAAATAACGCTTCAAACATTTACTAAAATAGTTTTTGTATATTATCTCGAAACAACGTTTTTGGGATAAGACGGGTTTTGCAACTTGTCGCCTCATTACAATATTCCTTTTTAGAATTTGGGTAAGTCCAAGATGTCCTAAACTCCCCTCAGGAAGTTCAGTATTGGATGGTGAATCCCGATCAGGATTTAAACTTGCATTTCTAGATTTCTTATATTCATATAGGCAAAGCAATATTGAGTGCTTGAAGGAATGGGAAGATAGAATCAAAACAGCCGATCTTCGTGAGATTAAGTAATGAGATAAAATGTTTTAATCCTGCTCTGAACGATTATTTTATAGAGTATCCCTTATATTTGGTTGTCCAGGTGTACATTCTCCTAGAAAAAACGGATGTCCATTACATTATGTGGGACACCTCTTAAGTAAGGACTGTATTATACCAGACTCAAAGAAAAATCATAGTTCTTGGGGAATTGTAGCGCATACTGGATCTATGGGTAAGATGAAAGTTGATAAATGAGAACATATTGTATATTATTATAATATTCATAGGATTACTAGGAAAGAGTCCTGAAGAATATCTATATTCATGGGTCTTAAAATCATTAGGTAGCAATGTTGAGTCGCCATATCTTCCCACATTGCCTTCTATGTTCAATGGGAAATTCAGTCTAGTCTATCCTTCAATTAAAAACGCATTAGATACTCCAAGGGGTGCCCGTTGTTGTTGTTATGAAAAGGGAGTTCGAGAATTACAACCCTGGTTAAATGAATACACATGGTAAAAGAAATCCACAAGTGTTTTTATTATTTAAGAAATACCACAGACTAACCTAAACAGATGCGACAAACAATGCAAATGTGAAAATTATATTTTGGCGAATGCGCCAGGCAAATTTTTCCGTTAGATTTGTCATATAGGCGAATTTTACAGCGGACCAGAAAAGTAACCTCCATTCGTTTACTAAGAAGCCACGCCTCCTTTGTGTAGAAAATAGAGAGGGAATTTTGTAGTTCGGAATCAAATAGAGATGATTTTAATTTCATTGGTTTTTTTTTTTTCAATTTTTGATACATTCACAATCTATACCTACTAATATATAAAATTCTTAAGTGACTGACTCACTGATTAATCACGATCCTGCTCAAACCACTCAACGTAAGAAGTTCAATTTTAGCATACAGGTTGATTCTAGGGTGTAGAGGTTCGATAAGAAGGGACTTTTCGAAATTCCAGTTCCAAAAGGGCGAAACCACTCCCTCAAATATTACAATATTTTTTATTTAAAAAACTGTCAAGTTTCTTAAAAAACGCTTAAACACGTATATTTTATTTTGTTTTTTTACATAATTTAAGATTTTTTAAAAATGTATACAGGGTGTTTCGAAAAATCTGGTCATTGATTAATCACGATCCTGCTTAAAGCGCTTGACGTAAAAAGCTGATTTTTGGAAAACGGATTGACTTTAGGGTGTAGAGGTTCGATAAGAAAGGATTTTTCGAAACTCGAATTCTAAGGGGGTGAAACCACCCCTCAAATATTAGAATATTTTTTATTTAAAAACCGATGAGTTTTCGGAAAAGCTCTTAAAACGTATATTTTTATTTTGTTGTTTTACATATTTTCAGATTTTTTAAAAATTTATACAGGGTGTTTCATAAAATATGACCATTGAGTAATCACGATTCTGCTTAAACTGCTTGACGTTTAAAGCTGATGATTTTTGGCAAACGGATTGACTGTGGGGTGTAGAGATTCCATAAGGAGGGGTTTCTCGATTCCAAGAGGGTGAAAATGCCCCTCAAATATTACAATATTTGTTATTTAAAAAACGGTTAGTCTTTCGGGAAAACGCTTGGACACGCATAATTTATTTTGTTTTTTTACATATTTTGAATTTTTTTAAAAAATCATACTGGGTGTTCCAAAAAGTTGGGTAATTGATTAACTACGATTCTGCTTAACTGCTTGACGTAAAAAAAATTATTTTTGACAAACAGATTTTTCGAAAGTCAAATTCCAACGAGATGAAACTACCCGTCAAATATTACCAAGTTATATAATAATATCGCCATATTGTTTTTTCTCAGGCTCAGGACATAAATGTGAGAACATTTTATCCAGTTTGTATGTTAATGGAAATTTTTGAAAATTCCTCATCTCGGGGATGATATAGGGGTGAAAGTTGGTATGAAAATTTATTACTACCTGGCATAGAAGTATAATATTTTTACAAAGTTTATGTAGTTAATAAGTCGATTATTTGATCGAACTGTATGTCTATTCGCTTTTTTCGTATTAGAAAATCTAGGTATTTTCGGAAAAAAACACCCACAGTTTTTGATATAATTTAGTCCTAGAAAATCTAAAAAATGTATCTTCTTGTATTTTTTTAAAAGCATTTTAAATAAAATCAAAACAAGAAACTTAAACTGAATAGCTGAATTAACTAAAACAATACTAAGAACACCGTGAACTAACTAAATGTAAACCAACAAAACCCAACAGAAAATTAAAATCGGAAACAGCTAATAATAATGATGTACCTATGTAATATCCATGTGAAACAACTGAAGAAACTGACTTAAAAATCCTCTGAAAACCTTCAATATTCCCATCTTAGATTCCCATATTCTTTTTCTAGGACACTGTTGCCAATTCTACTTACCAATTTGTATAAACTATATCGGTATCACGGCACATGCAAACAATATGCCGTGTCTGTATCATAAAAGTACCTATTTGCTATATAAAAGATCAGCTGCTAAATTTTAAATCAATTTAAAATATCAAATAAAATGATAGTAGTGCATAAAACTATTAACAAGCAGGATATAAAAATAATTAAAGATAATTTAAGCTGTCTAATAGAAGATAGACTTTAGATTAATATTTGAAATTAACAGCTGGAAGTACAGCTAAATACAAACGGCAAGCTGACAACAAAGATCCTATTCTTTAAGAATTTTATATTTCTGATATTTTATATCATTTTTAATTTTAAAGATATCGTCATTTTCTTTATACATATGTATTGATCTTAACCCATTGTTAAAGTTTGTAAATTTCTCATACTTTACAAATAAATATTAGCTGATATTTCCTAACATCATGTAATTATAGTTATTTATTATTATCCAGGAGAAAGCGCTAATACAAGTACATATAATATTTAATTCTCACATAAAAAAAGAATCAAGCTGGCAATCTCGCTTTGACTTTATAATCGTACGTCGGCTGCGACGGCCAGACGAGGCGGCGCGGTGTATCAAAGGCAAGGTTAAATGCGAGAAAGAACGAAAGAAATGGAAGCTTAGGGAAGGGGGGAGTGCGGGAACGATTTGAAGTGACCACGGCTGTTTGTTTGGCCGAATATTTTGCCTTCATCGACGGTATCGCCGCTCTGTCGTCGCACTTCCGAACATAGGTCTTTTTGAACACAAAATTTCCCATAAGGTGTCGCATCTGTTTAAGTTAGTTTGTGGAAATACCTAATATAGTGATTTATTGGACTTTTGTTTTTATAGTGTGTGGAAAGCTGACAAAACAAAAAGAAGCAAGGCTATTTCCCAAGCAAAATGTTATTTTAGGATATCTCCATGTTTAAAGAAACTGGTCTATTTTTATTTAACAAGCTCAAATCTGTCAAGATCTGGGTGGGGCGCAGTACCACAGAGAGAGTCAACAGTTAGATTCCAGTGAGATTTAAAAAAGGCTGTACTTAAACTGCCGCACAGTGGGGTATTTGACACAGATAGTTGATCGAAATTTTTTTATGTAGACCTTATATAAATTATAGCTATTTTCAATTAAAGAGGAAATAATATGAACAAAATAAAGGATAATTCGTCGATTCTAAAAAAAGAAAGAAAAATTACTGTTCCAGTGTTTCCACGGTCAATGCCACTAATGCCAGTAGTAATATCGCAACTATAATACTACTAATGCTACGACTGATCCGCGAGCAATGCCCATACCACTAAAGTCGCTACTAATGCCAAATTGTGCTATACTGCTAATGGCACTAATGCGATCGCTTTGTACACAACAATGCCATCGCGGTTTACACCTCGCATTAGTATATCACTGATTGGCAAATTAGAGGAAACCAAGAATGTTTTTCTCATTTTATCAGCAAAATCGCAGAAAGTCGCAGTATTTTATTTTACTGTATGAAAGCCCAATGTTTACTAAGTAAAACGTATATAGACAATATGCTGGATTCTTCGAAATGCGCAACTAAATCTCGAAGTATAATAAAAATGTCACAAATTTAATCAAATTTTCTGAACGCCTAACTTTTAGTTGCAAAAAAAATCGTTAGTATAGAGCAGTGTTTCTCAATCTTTTGTAGAGTGAGGAACCCTAGAGTGCACTTTTTTTTTCTAGGGAACCCCTACCCTATATTCTTAAATATAAGACATAGTGCATGTTTGGTTTTGTGTCAATATATCGATATTAATACTACTTATTGAGCTTCTAAATTAAGAGTAAATAAAAAAATGTAAGAATTAAGTACATAATATATTAATAACTCAGAAACAGTAAAACACTTAAATATTCATTACAAATATTTTTTTATGAGCTTAATGCGAAGGATGGGCCTGTTTGTTTGATACAAGTTTGTCGATATCGGGTTCAATGTTTGAAAGTTGTATCCGCATATCTGCTTCAGGATTAAGTTTACTTCTTAAGTCGGTTTTTGTAAGAGCATACTTCGAAAACCCTACTTCACAACGGTAAGTTGTAGCAAACGGCAACAATTTTTTAACAGCAAAATTGGCTAATTCTGGATATTCACTTCTAAGCTGGGCCCAAAACTGCAACAATGTAGCCGAGTTGAAAGTAGTTTTAAGGTTTCCATCGGCAGCAACATCAATAAGTTGTTCAATTTGTTTTACAGTTAGGGTTTGATGAAACTTTTCGACTGGGACTGAGAATGGATTGCGAACCCAATCAAGATCCTCTTCTCGTCTTGGAAAATATTCTCTGATTGAAACTTGTAGGTTCTGAAGATGGTTTATTATCTCCGAAGTGATTTCTGCTGACAATGCAGTCTTCGACTCACACACAAAATCATGCAGTGTAGGAAAGCACTCCGAGATTCCTCTGTTTATACACGATTCCCAAAACTGTATTTTATTTAACTTGGCCTGGATTTTGTCATATAAGGAGATTACTGTTACAGAAGTTCCCTGGAGTGATAAATTTAATTCATTAAGGCTTGAAAAGACATCGGCAAGATATGCCAAACATTGTAACCACTTGATGTCAGTTATTCTTGATGATAATTCAAATGAAGAGTCATTAAGAAACACCATCACCTCATTTCGCAGAGTAAACAGGCGAACCAATACTTTTCCTCGCGATAACCATCGCACTTCGGTGTGAAGCAAAAGCGTGGTGAATTGGCTACCCATTTCTTCACAAAGAACAGCAAAAATTCGTGAATTTAGAGGCCTGGACTTTATAAAATTTACAATTTTTACTGCTTCATCCAAAACGTTTTTAAGAACGGGAGGAATTTTTTTTACTGCCAATGCTTGTCTATGAATAATACAATGGCTACTTTCAATTTCTGGAACGACATTTTTAACACGTGCAACAAATCCAGAATATTTACCAGTCATTGCTTTTGCACCGTCAGTGCAGATATTAATGCACTGATTCCAATTAAGTTCTTTTTCAGTGATATAAGAATCGATCATCTTAAAAATTTCCTCGCCGGTTGTATGGGTCTTCAAAGGTTTGCAAAGTAACATTTCTTCTTCTGCAGAGTTGTTGTGTATGTACCTCACAATAACAAGCAATACTGCACACCCTGCCACGTCTGTTGTTTCATCAAGCTGTAGTGCATACCAACCACTACCTTTTATCCGTTGAATAACTGTATTTTCTATTTCGTTACTAATTTCATAAATTCTCCTATGAACAGTATCGTTTGAAAGTGGCAGCATTTTTACACTATTACTAAACTTTTCACCAATCATGGTTTCGACAACATCTATTAAACAAGGTTTAATAAGTGTTTCGGCAATTATATGCGCTTTTCCAGCCTTAGCTATGCGGTAACTTACTTGAAATGAGGCTTTACATGCTTTTTCATTAATGCTGCTACCCACTAAAGACGATAAATTCTTTTTACTTTTATTCATTTCCACTAACTTGCGTTGAAAAAAATCCACAGGTTTGTCCTTGTATTCACTATGATTTGTTTGTAAGTGTCTTAGAAGTTTCGCTGGAGCTAATGAACTGTTGCTGAAAGTCTTAAAACAAATTACACACTGGCTGTTTGGCGCACTAGGATCCCCAGTGGAAGCAAAACCATAGGATAAATATTCTGGGCAATATTTTCTAATTTTAATTTTCTTATTCGCAACGGGAACAAAACTTGAAGTTGACGGCTCATCGCTGCTAGCATTACTCCAAATCCCTTCAACAGTTTCATCTTGACTGATGGTTGGATCTTCCTCTACCTCTTGTTTTCTTTTAAAACAACCAGTTTTCAGCCATTTATCCATTTTAAATAATAATTACATAAGAGTAAAGGCAAGAAAAACAAACAAATCGTCTTTCAACGGGTTTAAAACAAACACTTTCAATGCGAAGACTGCGTAAGGAAGGCTACCGCATAAAAACAAAAGCACCTAGGACAGCGGCCGGCGATTACTAGAAGGCACAAAATAGCAAAATACATACACGGCATTACAATGACTGCAAAGCGAAGTAAAATTAACGAGTCGCAACAAGCGCGCGAGCTCGGGCTCGGATGCAGATCAGAAGGGGAGTACTAAGAATATTTTTTTTATTTACACCATTTCATTGTTGGGTGATACCACAATTTAAAAAAAAAATTATTGGCTTCTTGCGGAACCCCAATCGCCCCTTTGCGGAACCCTGGGGTTCCGCGGAACCCAGTTTGAGAATCACTGGTATAGAGAATATCAAAATAAATAATACGTTTTTGTAGAATACATACCTCCAGCTTGCTGAGCCATTTTCAATCAAAACAATAATATAAACGTAAAAAGAGCACAAGAACAACAACAATTTAGAATTTTAAACATAAAATTTGGCCATTTACCTCTTATCTGTGAGAAGTAACAACTTTGACGTTTCGTTGAAACAAATGAATGCAACTAAACACACCCATAGCAACGCCATTCATGGCAGACATGATTTAACTTATCATTTATCTTTTTTTGGGAAATCTGAAACACATTTGCTTTTTCGAATTTCGATCACCTTTTTCATGCTAATACCCCACCGTGTGCCGTTAAACGGTAGCTTACTAAAATGCCGTTTATAGGTATGACGTCGTTGATGTGACGCACTTGACGGCTTTATGAAATATAAGAATTTTATAAGGACTAACCAACGCTATCCACCCCACCAAATAACCAACTTAACCAAAGCAACTAACCTCGACACTGATAAAAAATATAAAAAACAAATATAAATTAGTAAAAATCAACCAACCCCACCAAATAACCAACTAACCAATGAATTAACACCCTCGAAATAACCACGCTAACCAACCCGCCAAATAACTAAACCAATCCAACCAAAAAGAGTGAAACCAATGCAATAAGAGCACGCTATAAGCAAAAAAAAATATAAAAAAGTTTTGGTCGGCGTGAGATTTGAACCACGGACCATTCGCTCACCACAATATCTATTAACGGCATTTTAGTAGGCTACCGTTTAACGGCTGTTTAAGTACATCGATCTAAATAAGTGTTTTTATTCAAGGTCGTTTGAATTAGGATTATTGTTCTTGCCAAAGTATTTTGAAATGGAGCACTTTGAGATAGCAGATCCTTTTGACGGAACAAGCGGGAACAAGTTTCCTGTTATGTTCGATTTGCCATTAACACCATATGGTCCTGAAGATGAAAGTTATTGCCTAGAGGTGTGCATGGAGAGAGGCTTAATAAATTCAGATAAACCTAAGCCGGTTGATTTTCAAAATGCAGATCAGCCTGTGCCAACGGGAATTAAAATACCTACTGAAGAGTATAAAACAACAGAAAGAAAGAAAAATATTTCAATAAAAGATGTATCTCTTGGTGTTAAACTGGCACTAGAGAATACATTTTTTCCCACTTCTAGTAATAAGATTTAAATTTTTATTTATAAAAAAATGCCTAATGTTTTGTTCATATTAAAATATAGTAAAGTTTATTTTCTACTGCAGGAGTATAATTTAACACAATATCCTGTGCAAGAACTAAAGTAATAGATAAAAAATACCATAAAGATCAACTATACAGGGTGTTTCTTAAGTAGTCTAGAAATTTTATGGTGGCGATTCTTCATGTTTTTAAGAAAAAAAGTTTGTACGTATAAACATGTGTTAAAGATTAAAAAAAAAATTGGGTATTTTTTATCCTTGTATATCCTGTTTTTTAAATGGCCCCAGAGAATGAAATCATTTGGCGAAATATCAGGAGACCTTGCTGGCCAATTTACTGCATGATTTAGGCTAATAACGTTTCCGTTAAAACTATTGTCTAAATATTCCCGAACAGCCAGGGTACTATGTGCCGGGCAGCCATCCATTTAGTACTAAACTTCCTGATTTTCCCTAGCGGCATCATGTAAAGCAGGTAAAATATGATTTTCGAGTAGTTCCAAATAATATTCTGCATTTAAATTTCGCGTAAGAAATAATGGCCCGATAATATTGTGTCCTAATATCGCTCCCCAAACATTTACTTTCTGTGGATATTGCGTCCTTGTTTCGACAAACCTGTGTTGGTTTTCTTTGTTCCAATATCGATAATTTTGAACATTGGGTTCATTATTATTTCCTTGTGCTGATCTTTCCATCGTTCTCTTCCACGCACAATAAAAGTCGGTATCATTTCTTGCATCTTCTCTTAGTTCCTACCTTGCTACACATCTGCAATTATTTATTAAGGTACCTTTGGTCTCAAATCTCTGGATATTCTTTGCGATTGTAGGTTTTCCAGGTATCGGTCTATTCGGATACAGAGCAGCAAACATGTCCGACACCTTTTGATAACTATTTCCTTGATAATACCATTTAATCATTACTTTTTCTTCGGTAGTGTAATTCATGGCTAATATTTTCGATGTAGGTATGAGTTTTTAATAATAATAATAAAGCACTAAATAGATAAATTTCTGAAATGACAACTTCATTTGACAGTTATCTTTTACCTTGACTGGTGCTCATAAGTAAATACAGGGCCATAAGAAAAGAGAAATATTTAAAAAGAAATCGGCGATAACTCGTAAACGGGCTAATCAAAAATATCTAAAGTTATTCTTTTGAATGTGGGTTTTAGTGCTCTTCAATAAACCTGAATAGAATTATTCTCTAAAATAATTAGGGAAGCCAATAATTGACCCCATTAAAATTTATATGGGATTTCCTATGTCCCGCTCGACGATGCAACACCCGGTATATGTAGTTTATTGCAGTTTTATTTGTGTAATAAATTAAAATGTTTTTATCGTATCTTTAAACTAACGACCAACGGAATCCGCAACAATTCAATATTAATAGGATTATAAGGATTTTAAGTAGATTTCGGAAAATCAAGATCTACCAATCAATTTATGGTACGGTAAATGGATGAAATAAGCAAATTATTAGAAGATTTTATGGAAAATATGCAAAGAGAAAATGAAGTAGAGCGAAACCCACTATAGAAAGAAAACAAAGCAGAATTACGATCCCGGGAAATGCGGGGAAAACCCTGAAGGTTTGACAACCGCAAGGAAGGCCAATAGGGACATGAACGCGTTCCGAAGCACAGTTCCGAAGATTCTATAAATCCAAGAGAAGGAACAAGAGCGTTTTCAGATACTTCAAGAAAATCGTGATCATAAGCGTCAAGAGAAAATGAATATTTAAAATGAACTAAAATGCACCAACCTCTTAGATCTTTTATAAGATCTAAGCCAAGCCTATTTGTCAACAACGACGATATTGGGCTTCCTCGCACTCATGCGCCACCCTGTATAATATTTACCAACAGAAAGATAATTTGTAATGTCAAAAAATTGACAAACTTTCTTGTAATATTCGGTTTATTCTTGTATTTTTGAACTGAATTTGAATTTGACGTCAAAAATTAAATTTGTCAAAAAGAATGAAAAACAATTTATAAATAATACTCTATATAGGTGTAAGTAAACTATCTTGTTTTAGAATGGACGAAGAAATGAGGATGTTGCAACTGGATAAACCAGGACAAGGAAAAGTAATTCGAAAACGTATTTTAAATAGATATAATGCACTAATCTATATATAAATTGCTAATTTAGAGTTTAACGGAGATTCAAAAGCACTCCATCGATGAAGCTTTGTTTGTTAATAAATCCACAGAAAGAGCAGTTTACATATTAAGGCAAGGATGAAGGTTTTGAATACTTACTGTTTCAAAAAGTGAAATTATGTTATTTCTGTAACCTTAAACCGCATACCGCTTAGTGGGATTTTAAGAGAATTATATTAGATTAATTCGTCGGACAACGGATGCATGAAAATCAATCGTTAAAGTTGTAGTATTTGGCATGGGATGCGACATTTTTTTGACTCAGCGGATTTGCCGTGAAATACCCATTCAAAAAATACCATAATATATTGTCAATCTACGATTTATAACGAGCGATTTATGATATACAGTACGTCTGTCCGTTCTGTAGCTACGGGGTATCCGTGAGAGGGGAAACGATATTTCTCTCGATGTCTTTCCTATAAAATAGACGACGCGTCCCGTCAATAAAAATTCGACAAATTTGCAAGTAGCCAATAAAATGAGTGGGCGGAGCGATTTGCGGTGACGTACTCGTCAAGTCGACGTATAAAATATATTGCTGTTTATTTAAATGTTTTTTGTCCGCATTCCTTTCATAGACACAGATCCAGCAGGCGTACTTTACCTACTTATTATATAAGTGAACAAGTGAACATTGTTAAGGTGCCATTACACGGCGTGTGGCTTGCCGATCCAAGCGCCTGGCGCGCGAATCGCCGAGCCCGGACGCGCCAATGCGTATTAATACACATTATATAACTTTTTAACATAGACTATCGGTTTAAATTCATACATCAAATAATTTATTCCGCAACTTTATTTTCAGTGCAGTTTATTAAGATAACAAAATGGAAAGCAAAATAATCTGGTTAAATTAAATTAAATAGGATAATAATTCGGTAAAGGTGTGGATCCGGTGGCTGACCTTGAAGCCCATATTTGCTGCTTTTGATCATCGATACTACGCAAGCGCACATCGTCGATGTTGCCAAATTGCAGTTTATTTTCGAATTATTTGCAGTTGAAAATTTTTTTTGGCGTGTTAATCAATAATAATACAAATTCTATAATTTCAGATTTATCTTGATATCCAAAATTAAGGTAAGAAGGATAATGAAGATTGTGAAATGAAAGTATTATAATATATAAAATTGTAATAATAATAACATTTATTTATATGTTTACATTTGAATTAAAATTTATCATTTACGGATTTTTTCTTAATGGTTTTAAACTTATTAGAATTATTTTATTTCTTTCAAGTTATTTAATTTCTAGTTATTTACAGGCAACAATATTTTTGATTATATGCATGTATTGATGTTTTGAAGTACTACCATGACGGGTCTTATTATAGAACAATAACGTCAATCGGAGATAGAGGTAACATTTTACCTATTATATAATGTTACTATGTAATATAATATACTTTGATTATAATTAATGTTTGTATCATAATTTCTTAAAAATATCAAGCATAGATATCAAGTTAGTGGATTTTATCGAAGAGTGTGTTGATAAGACTAAAATAAGCTTTATGTTTTATCTTTTTCTCTTTAGAAGGGAGATGGCTTGTATCGTAAAATACATTACAGTATTTAATATCGTATACTTTGTTATTCTTTTCTTAATTTACTGTAATTTCTTGTTTCCTATAATGCCAAATCTTGACAATATGGTGAAGGTTGAGTTTTGATCTTATTAGTTTTATAAGAATAATATAATAATAATAGAAATACAAGACTAAATTAAGACTTAGTTTGTGATTTATATTAAGATCTTTCTTATAATATTTGTTATGTCTTCATCTTAATACTATATTATGCTTGGTCTGGAATTTAAGTTGTTTAAATAATGTTAAAATATCTTAATTTTGCATATCCTATTCATCCTTCCATTAGGAAAAATATAGTTTATAAATCATATATGCTAAGAAAATCACATAAATTAGGTGTAAGAATAGAGAAATCTTAATGCAACAGAAAAATTAATGCAATATATGTATAAGCAGAATTAAACAAGGTAACTGTTAATGTTGCTGAAGCTGATTCTACAATTTTAATTACGGAGGCTAAAAGGCCTTTTAAGGCCTCCGTAGTTTTGATGGAATGTTAAAAAAAATCTATTATGAACATGACATAGAGCTACAGCATTTAAAAATTAAAAAAAAGAGAAAATTTGGACACATCCCTTTTAATTTCCCGAATTTTTAATAAAGCACTTTTTAAACGTAGCATAATAATCTAGATAGGAATCTAGAGTTTTATTTCTATATAATTTTATTGACTGAAAATACATAATAAGCGTTCACGTATTGTGCGAAATATTAAAATAATATACCGCGTACTATGATTGAAAAAAAAAATAGCGTCAGCAATGACTATGAAATAAAGATCGCTGTCATTTGGAAATGTCCTCAATCGTCATTTCCCAGACAACTGGACACCGTTTTTTCGATCATACGGTATATATTGACAAAAAAACACTGAAAAGCACATATTTGTTTTCTACTGAAAATAATTCCAAAATAACTCACAATCTGGCAACATCGAAGATGTGCGCATGCGTAGTGTCTGTGACTATATGCAGCAAAAACTCGTTTCAAGGTCAGCCACCGGATCCACACCATTACCAATAATTCTTTTTTTTAACTAGGGTTATTTATGTTCAAAAGTTAAATAATATTTTTTTGCCTTATTTATGAAAATATAATTTTAGAGTATATCATATTTTCAGAAAGCCCATAACAAGGCAAATAATATACTGGGTGTCTCATTTAAAAAATAGAAGTCAGATTTCGAAAATGAGAACCATCAGCGAAACTGGTTAACAACACTGGATTCTACGTAAAAAACTAAACGAGTCTGAGTTTTCACCTTTTCGATAAGTTATAAGATAACCGATATACGATGGAATCGAAAAATGCAACATTTTAAAATTCCTCCTGTATTTTAGGAATTAAAAAGACTAGAACAACTCTTCTTCTTTTTTAATTCTTTAATTAATTAATTTTTTAATTCGTTCATGGTGCAATAATTATTAATACTCAATTTTTGATGTATTCTCAGGCAGCCGTCCTGTATTTCATTTCTATTTTTATGTGCATGATTTCTGGGGTTCCAAGTTATTTGTTCTTTTTCATATAGGGGTAAAAACTCAGATATAGTCTCGTTCGACCAAAACATGTTGTCTCGAAATATGTAAAATATCAATTATTCTTCGAATCTCCGTTTTTCGATACATATGGTAGGTTACATAATCAAATGTATACTGAGTACTGAGGGGTAAATTGGTACCTATAATATATTGTTATAATCATCGGCAATTACCACCGCTCAAATTACCGCCAATAAATTAGTATAGCTATACAAATTTTAAATAGCATAATTGCACAAAACTTTATGAATTGATATTTCTATAGCTGCTGTAAAATTTAGAAGTATAAATTAAGTATCAAATACAATTATTACACATACATAAATCACCTCAGCAAAATGTATATAGTGCTTCTCACCCTTCTAGTAATAGTCAACATTTTTGACATGTTCTACACCCTTCGGGGTATTTGTATATGTAACTTATATTATTATACTTAGAACTAATAAACTATACCTATCTATACGAGTATATCATTTATACAGCATTTAGAATAAATAATAATTTTAAACAAATTAAGAAATTTTTTTTGGCGCATTCACCATTTTGTCAACATATTTTAAAATATTATTTGAAAATTTTTTACTGCATTCATCATTTTGTCAACATTTTTTTTTTGTTATTATTTATACACTAATATCTATATTTTCGTTTTAGTTTGGGCTAAAACACATTAAGGAAAAAGAGATACAACCAATTTTTGATAAACACATTATTTTGCATTCCATTGAAAATATAATTAAATTTAAATTAAATATAATAAACATTATATACAGTGTCCCCCATAAAGTTGGATCCATATGGACGTTTTTTTTTCATATTAGAGTTTTAAAAAATCTTTTTGTGGCAATCACTTCTGCTTTGAAAACAACTTAAAATGCACCAAGTCAAAGTTGACAGCTAACATATAAGCTGTCAAATACTGAAACTTGAAAAATGGTAAAGAGAAAATATTATGTTGCTTTTATCGAAATCTACCAGCCCTAAAAATATTTGCACTTATTATAACTCCCTACTTATTTATAACCCTGTATATGTATTTACTTTTAAACGCTCTGAGTTTGGCTCTGAGTAACTAATTCATAGTCTATTTTTATAGGTAATTTATATATGATTTTTAGTAATCCATGTATATGATTTTGAGCTTCAAACTCTTCTTAAAAAATATTGGGCCTCATGGATATATATCGTAGGCCATTGCGTGGGCTTGTAAACACCATTTTAGAAGTTTTAGAAAGATAAAAATTAACCCAATTTTTTTGACTGTTAATATTTTTGTAGGTACTAAAATAAATGTATGAAATGTATTATTTCCTGTGTTGAATTTTAATTTAAATTTCTGCATAAAATGCTTAATATATATATAGGTAAAAACATACTATTCCAGCACTATTATTAGTATTATTTAAGTATAAAATCTAAAAAAAATCGTTTCCGATTATTCATAGTAATCAGATAGGTAACGTAATTTATGTGGTCTATTTAGTATTAAATTATGGACGATGAAGAAGAAATAGAATCAAACAAAGCAAATTATTTTGATTTACAGGAACAATTAATACTGTAAGCTTTCAATTATTTGTTGCATTCAAGTTTGCAATTAACAAAAATAATAAAAAAAAAATATTTTAGTCGAGGTGATGGTTTACAGAAGCTTAGTGTTATCAGTTCTTTACCAGAATTATTGAATATTGACAAAAATGGAGCTCTATCAAAAATTATACCAAAAGTCCAACAAGAATTACTTAATGCTTCGACCGAATTTAACTTGGCCGCTAGTAAAATGTTCATTATATTAATAAACATGGAGATATCAGCAAATTTAATTCCACAGGTAAAATTAAAATAATCGCCATTATTATTGTTATTTAATAAAATTGTTTTTTTACAGATACTACAAGGCATAGAAAATAAAGATCCTATAATTGCAAACGCCTGGATGGAGACTTTATTATCTGTAATTCCATCTTTAAAGGAAAATGTAATTAAGCATGAGATATTGAAATGCGCTGTCTCAAAGTCACAGTTATCGAAAGCAGCCTATTTTCGAGTTTCTAGTTGCCGAATTTTGGGAAAGTTATCTGTGCATCCTGCAATGAATTCATTTGAGTAATGTATTACTGTTATTATTTTTAAATGCTATGTTTTTTTTTATTGAAATGACTGTGTGTGTAACCCAACCCCGTCCCCCGTCTACACATACCATTTTTCCCAATGACTAAAGAATCCAAGGACAAATAACACCCGAGAGCAAATTGTGACGATGACACCAAACAGTGCCGTGGCACATATTTTTCTTAACCTAGCTGTTTGAAGCAACATTTATATTTTTTGATAATTGTTTTGACTACGCCTATGGTGTATCATCCTAATTAATTACGAAAAAAACGTATTAAAATGTTAACAAAAGGTACAAAACTAGTATTGACGTATAGCACATATCAAGTACATATAGATGTTAATTAAAATTGAAGAATAATTATTGAATTCAATAAGAAAACGCTAAAAAGTTGAAGTGAACTGTTTATTTACCTATGAAACGTAACTCCTGGCTCTTTCTTATCGCTGCTGCTTTTACTTTTGAAAGCTGAACAACTAATCACCATTGTAATAAAGTTTATACAAAGTTTACTGCACACAAACTATTAAAAATCGCTAAAATTGTCGCTGGTGACCAAATGATGACTCATTGTTTGCCACCAAAACAAAAAAAAAAGGTCACAAATTCTGCTGCAGCCCGTATAGGGGCGTTACATGTCCTTATATTCTTTAGTAATTGATTTTTCCTGTCAGTTTGTTTCAGTACTTGCATTTTCAGTACACCAGTCTACAACATTGTTGACACCTGACAATGATGGTGTTGAAGACACCATCATGTTTTTGATAAAAATTGAGCTTCAGACACCAATATTAGTTTTTGTCTATCTCCTATAGAAAAGGGTGTTTCCCTTTAAAAGCATCCAATTTGACCCACCCTGTACACATAAGAGTATTGGTATTGATACACATAAGTAATTAAACGAATTGAGCTGTCTTGTGTCTTTGAATTAGATCTGAAATTAAATCAATCGTTATTTTTTCTCTAATAATTGAATTATTACAATAAACTATCCAAAAAAATCCTTTATGTATATATATGATATTTCGCCACTGCACTGCAAGAAAAATCTACAAAATAAAATAGTTATTTTTTTTTGTAAACACTTCTGCGTTAAACCTAAACGGACACTGCTTGTCAGAAGTTATGTTTACAGTTATACAAATTTGCATAACAAAGAAAAAAATGTTTAACGTTTCGGAAAGTTTATCTTTCCGTCGTCGGAAGCAACAAAAATACAAAGAAGAAAGAAAAGAACTATTTAAAATATTTAAATGCAACTATTCGAGAACACTTTACAAACAGACACGTTTAACGCCAGAAGTGTTTACAAAAAAAATAACTATTTTATTTTGTAAATTTTTCTTGCAGTGCAGTGGCGAAATACCCATAAAGGATTTTTTTTGGAGAGATGAATCCGCCACATAGATATAGACATTTTTTACAATAAACCATATAAGTTCAAAAATATACACACCGGAAAAGTCTAGGGATATTACAATTTTATCCAGCCGTCGTCAGTAATTTTATTATTTGCATTTCTAATATAATAAAATTAAAATAAACAAAAATAGTTTACAGGACGTATTGGAAATAAAAATGCGAAATTAACCGAATTTTTCAAATTTACCTTCATTTTTATTGAACTCAAAAAAATACTCACATTTTTTTTATTCTAAACTGTGAATTAAAAGAAAAAAGATAAAAACATTTTTACTTAATAAAGGGTATGGCCTCCTCTACTGTTCATTACAGCCCTACATCGTCTCTCCATGCTCCTGATCAGGTTGTCGATCTCTTCTTGAGGTACAGCCTGCCACGCTGCATTCACGGCCCGAACCAGATCCCTACGAGTTTCACGAGGCATACCCATTCTCAAAATTCTTCTTTTGACCGCGTCCCATACGTGCTCAATGCCGTTGAGGTCAGGAGATTGTGCTGGCCAGGGTAAGATGTTTAATTGATGAGCATTGATAAACTCACTTACCACTCTGGCTGTATGAGGCCGTGCATTGTCATGCGTGAGAATGAAGTTTCTCCCAAAAAAAAGTTTGTACTGCATATGGTAATACGACATGCTCAAGAATTAAATCACGATATGTGATTCCTGTTAGAAACCTTTCAAGAAAAACGAGATCGTTTTTTCAGCCTAACTGGACTCCTCCCCAGACCATAACTGTTCCACCTTGCTAAGGGTGCACTTTCTGAACATGATCCAACCGAATAAGATTTTCCGGTTCTCTCCATACCCTATGCCTTCTCGAATCCGGATGAATTCCAAAGCGTGACTCATCCGTGAAGAGAACATTGGCCCATTGTTCATTCGACCACTGAACATGATCTTGAGCCCACAAATATCGTACCTCCCGATTTCCTCTCGTTAAGGGTTGAGCTCTCCAGTAGCGTCTGCTTCTTAAGTTGACCTCTCTTAATCTATTGCGAACAGTGTCAGGACTAACGGTTACATTATGTGTTTCCTGGAGAATTAAACTATGCTCTGGTGCTGTAAGAGTCGGTCGGTGTCGAGCATTTAATTGTAAAAAATGATCTTGCTGATGGGTAGTAATGCGATGTCGCCCTGTGTGCCTTTCAGCAACATCACCACTTTCACGGTAGCGTGCATTTAATCGCGATATTACACTTTGCGTTGTATTTAATGCTCTAGCTACGTCGATTTGGCGCATTCCAGCTTCGAGCATACCCATGGCCCTTAGCATTTCGTCTCTGTTAAGATGTCTACGCTCCATAATGTCGTTTAATACTAAACAGAGTTATTTGAATGAATTCTGGCCAGTTATCATAAAAATATAGCCAGTACAGGTTAAATTCGAACATTTGATGGTAGGTGCTTTTTATACATTTGACAAAAAATGCACAAACACTTCTGCAACTATCCCAAATTTAGAAATAACTAGTGTGACTACTTCGTTTCAATCGAAGTAGAAAGAATCGGCCTACAAATATGTGGTTGTTTATTAAAAACATTTATTTTTAACTTTAATAAAATGATATCCCTAGATTTTTCCGGTGTGTGTAGTTCTGACAAACTGTGACGCAAAGTCTGGATGTTTATCCTTGTATATGTATGTGTATTAATGTTTTTTTTTTCAAACGTTACAAAAGTATTAATTTTTGCGACGTGATATGACAACATAAAAAAGTCATTTTAACGGCTAGGCATAAGCACTTATGCCTAAGCACAGAAGTACGAAAATATACAAAATGACATAAAATGTCAAATTCGACGAGCGGAACCATAGTTTCTCGATATACATACAATTATTTACAAGGTATTACTTTTAAATATTTTTATATTATTTGGAACGTTTGAAATTGTTTAAAAAATTATTTGTGGCCTTTGAAAAAAATAGCATCTTCTATTCAGAGTAAAAAGCCTCATAACAAAAAGTATCATTTTTACTCCTAATAAAACAATATATTTTTGCTCTTATATCGCTAAAAAATGATGACGACCGGATTTTATCGGGATTTTTGGGAAAGCTTGCCTGTGGTGGACGAGTTTTCATCTGGTAACCCTACGTTTAATACATGATTTTTAACGTAAACTTTTTAACGAAATATTAAGTTTTATTGTTCCCCAACAAATATTATTGTTATCTCTATATCATATTAACGCATGAATATTTGCTACATGTGTACATATTTTTTTGTACCGTTTCTTTTCTCTCGTCTAAAATTACGAATAATGGAGTTAGCACTTTATCACATATCACCGATGATATATGATAATATTACATATCATTACTGCCAATTGGCAGTAATTTTATCATACTAAGGGCTGGCAAAGGTTAGTCTTGGGTCGAGATTTCCGTATGTAAGAAGAGTACAATGCGTTTATAATGTACTGAACAAAGAGAGGACAGTAAGAACGTTGCCAAACGTATGAAATAAACCGAGAAACTGTGCACATCACTAAGAGACGTGGAAGGGGATATAGCAGATTTGTCGCAGTTGACCGGTCGACCCAATCAATACCTCTGTCAGTACTTAAAGTTCTAGGGAAAGGTGTACGTCATGCGTTCAGCTTCACGGTTTAATTACGTCTCGTGATACTTAATTTGTTTATTTATTAACGAGTCGTTGTAATTTTCCCTATAGCTTCAATTTTTTTAAGTGCAAGCTAGAAACACTTACATTTTTTCTAAAAATAAATGGAATTGAGTGGGTGTTCGATAGTGGTCGCGCTATTAGAACTCTGAATTCAAACAATCGATATCTCGAAATCTATTAGAAATAATAGGTTGTAGTTTTTTCAAGAACTTTGTTAATATTTCTGCTGTATTTTCTTTGTAGACAGTATGTGAAAATCTTTATCAATAAAAAAATTACACGATTGCTGAAAATTGCTATGCTCTAAAAGTAAATGGATGGATTGTTTACAATTTTTGAATGGAAAAAACAACCTTATCGAATTTTTCTTATGTAAACATATTGTAAAATATCCGATCCTGAAAAAAAGTTTCAATATCTAAAGTGGTTCTTGAATTATGGCCTGTTATGTGTTAAAAAGTTAAGTTTTTAAATTATCGCGATTACTGACGTTTTCTCGTTATAAAAAAAATGACACCTTAACGATATCCTTATAATTCCATTTCAGATGCTCAGAAACATGTCTAATGATTTTATCTAGTTACCTCTTGAAAAAAAAGTCTTTTAAAAATAAGCGGTTTGCGATCGTGATTTTACTTTACTTGATAGGGAAAGGCGTATCGGCAACGCCGCAACAGCACACCGTCCCGCGTCGCGTCGGTCTGTCGCATTTCTCTCACTCCGACTTATAAGATCCCTATGCGATTTACTTCCACACATGTAAATGCCGACCCAAAAGTAACAGTTGCCACCACGGTATAAAGATTAGTAGATTAGGCTTTTTCAAAGTAAATTTAGATAAGTAAACTATATTAAGCTTATCTTTTCACATCGATTTGACTAGTCAGGGATACCTTCAATGAAAAAAAGTTTTTCAAATATGTTCTTTTTTAGTGTCAAAAAAGATATATTACCTCTTGTTCAAAGTCTATGTCAAGATTGTTTTCACGAAGTAAGAGCTGCAATGTGCAACGAAATTCCAAATGTGGCAAAAGGTAAATGACACGAAATTATGAAATTGAATAAAATATGTAAACATGTTTTTATTTTTTTAGGACTTCATAATCTTGGCGATGCAGTAGTTAAAATTAATCTGTTGCCTCTATTAGTTGAACTCTCCTCAGATGAAAATATTTATGTTCGATCCATTGCGATAGATTCTGTTATAATGACAATTCCGTACTTAGGTTCAGGTAAACCATTCATTTGTGCAAAATATTTTAACGAAATCCCTTGCCAACGAAACGAAGGGCCAAGAATACTACAGAGATAAGGATAGTTCGATTCCTATCTTCCTGCACTGTCAGTTTTTTTTTACGTCATCTGGGGACCGAGTTGAAGTTGGCGCTAAAGATTTTAGACAGTGACAGTTATTTTTGCATTTGACGGACGAGCGCACAGTGCGTTGGAAGATAACTTTAGCGGGACAAAAGCGTTTGGTTAGAAATAAGCCAAAAAATGTGTACTGTAAGAATAAATAGTAGACATTCCAATTGATATAAAAATGCATGAATATTCTTTGTATTTCGATACATTTTTATCATACGAAAACAAAATATTTACAAGTGCTTATACATTTTATTCCAAAGCCAAATTATGTTGAAGATTGCCAAAGCTATTTACTTTTCTACTGTACGTATATTATTTGTTAAAATCCTTCGTGTCTTTGTTCTGCAGATATAAAACTTTTTTTCAAATATCGATATATTGAATGATGTAGATCTTTTGAGTTACCAATAGTTACCAACACAGGTAGTCACAGTCACAGGGAGTTCAAGCTTAGCAGGTGAATGCCCAAAAAGTTTCATTTCAATCGGATAGTATAAAAACAAAACAACTCCATCAAAAGGCACTGAGTTTAAAAAATTGTCTTAGAGACTTACTATATATGAATTTACAATTACCGAGTGTTAAAATTAAAATTAAAATATCTATCTTAATTATTATTTTTAAAATAAAATATAATTTTTTAAAATAAAATATAGAGTGTGTCACAAGATTACAAAGTAATTAAATAATAACTGCTAAAGAGTTTTTTGTAAGTATTTCACCTGATATCATAATTTTATGTATTTTGCAATAGTTTACAATACGGTTTTTGTGTGTTATGTACGAATAATATCATAGTTTTATTATCTTGTATTTATTTATTAATAAATTAAGTTGTTAATAAATAAATAAATTTAACCATATAGTTGCTATATATTAGACCATTTGCTACGTTCTTAGATTTTAAGTCCCAAACATTGCTCTTGAGATTTTGTCTCGCTAGAATAACCATCCGCCGCACTGTGGAGCGCTGGTCAGCGCGTGACGTAGCATTCCACGGCGACTACGACAGCGGCGATTTGACGCGATCGAACAGTCCTTTAGAATATATACAGTCCTTGACGAAGGGCGACATTTTTCGACCATAACAACATCTATTGACAATAAACCGATTTCTGTCGAGAAAAAGTCAAGTGATTATCAAACAAAATTTGTTTGATTGATTCAAACATTGATTGTTAAACATTGAAAATGACAGAGATCTTAGTAGGCATCGTTTGAAAGATATCCAATGAAATAGCGCTGATTGTGTTGCATGAATGATGCCGTATTAAAAAAAATAAATCACAGAAGAGGTCGAAGTTCACGACACAGCTTTTATTATTCCCAGTTGATATTTATAGCAAAAATTATAGTTACCTATTATTATTTTTAGATACTACAAAAGGAACGATAATCCCCTTAATTAAGAAGCTATGCAACAGAAGTGTCTCTGAGGGTAAATTAATATTATATTTGTTGTTTTGAAAACCCAACAATATTGTTCTTTTAGGTGATACAACTTATACGGCGATTGCAAATAATTTTCGTAAATTGATCGTTCATACGCGTCCCTATTTAACAACTAATGACGCTCTGTGGTTCTTGGATTACTTCATACATATCTCCAAAAAAGGATTAACTTTAGTTGTAGAATTGGATTCTGATCCTTCTGTGGTAAGAAAAATTTGAACAATATAACATTCATTAATACCAAATATGAATTTTATAACACTTTATCCTAAATTACTATAATTTTTAATATTTTTAATGAGATATTTTGTTTAGTTTTGTAAAAATTTGTTTGTGGGGTGTGACTTGTTTTTGACTGGATTCAAAATCTAATTTCAAAGAAATCAAGTAATTCAACAAATTACCTTATTTTAGTCTCTCCAGCGAGAGAATATATGATATAGTCTATAAAATGAATAACTTTGAATTTTGACCGTTATTTTTTACCAACATGGCAAATATAAAATCCCTCTACCAGAAAAGTTACTGATATTCTTTAAATTGAGTGCCTGAACGAATCAGATAGGTAACTCTTTTTACTTTCGTGAAATAGAAAAGGAAAATAATAAAACAAGTGACAGTTCTTCCTCTTCTTGCAAAAATCAACACGAAATGTCATAATTGCCAAAAGAAAAATGTCATCAGCTTTTGACATTTCTAAATATTAAACCAATGCCCTCTCTAATAGAACAGCCTCGGAGCGAGATTTATGACGTCACGCTAGTTAGATACTAAGGATTAATAAATATGTTATGGAAAACATAATTATTCCTCGTATTTTTGGTTTGTATTTTAAAAATGATATAGTTTACATGAAATATACATAATATACAGTTAATAAATACAATATATATATATATATATATATATATATATATATATATATATATATATATATATATATATATATTATATATATACCTATTTATAGTAATAAATACTTTGGCAAATATACTATAAACCATACAAATGCAGCAAATGTTTTACAATATATAAATAATGAATAGATACAGAAGATAATAAGTAATATTTTAAATTTTAGGGTTTAAAAATCGACCTAATTTAACAAAAAAACATTCAATATCTACTAATAGTGATGTATTATTATTTGCATTCACAAAATTTATATGTATATTTTGCAAGTATCAATGATCGAAAAATTATATTTGCAAATAATACAATATCATTAAATATCAACATCAAGAAGCGATGGTTATAAAATAAAGATCGCTGTCATATGTAAAATTATTCTAAATTTTTTTTATTTGGGATCATTGGGATTTAGGTTAGGATGGAGTACGATTTCAGCCATAATCAATGTAGATAGTTTTAGTGTTAAGCAAAATAATTTTAAAAAATAAACAAAATATTAAAAATAAACAAAAACAATAAATAATAATAAATTAATATTATTAAAAAAGTTATTAACTGTATATTATATATATTTCATGTAAACTATATCATTTTTAAAATACAAACCAAAAATACGAGGAATAATTATGTTTTCCATGTATTCTACAACATATTTATTAATCCGTAGTATCTAACTAGCGTGACATCATAACTCTCGCTCCGAGACTATTCTATTAGAGACGGCATTGCGTCAGCATGGCTGCAAGTTGCTAACCCTTTGCTAACCTAATAAAATTAATACTAGAAAAGCGCGCGGGAACTGTCAAATTCAAAGTTATTCGTTTCACAGACTATATAATATATGATTTCGACACACTACAACTAGCGTATACCCGCGACTTCGTTCGCGTCGAATTAATCATTTGTAATGGTGATGATAAAGCAAAGCAAGAATTTCCATTAACATACAAACTGGATACAATTTTCTCACATTTATGTCAGCATGAGAAAAAATCATATGGTGATATTATTATATAACTTGGTAATATTTGAGGGGGGTAGTTTCATCTCGTTGGAATTTGACTTTCGAAAAATCCGTTTGCCAAAAATAAGCTTTTTACGTCAAGCAGTTTGAGCAGAATCGTGGTTAAGAAATTACCCAACTTTTTGGAACACCCTGTATGGTTTTTTAAAAAATTTCATAATATGTAAAGTAAACGCAACACTGTCTTTCGTTTCTCAAGTACACCTGAACTCTCCGTATCATAGCCGGGTATTTTTTTTTATTTTAATGAAGCTATAATTAAATTAAAAATACATATATCGTATTTAAACTTTTTGATATTTTATTAAGATTTAGGAGAGGTTTTTTTAAATAAAAGTTTAGAAAAAACGTATTAGAGTCCAAAAAGGATAAAAATAATAAAATCCATGTTATAGAAGAAATTTTATAATCGAAATGACGTAATTTTTGAAATTAATAATAAATTATTAATTTTAGTTAAACATTTACAACCCCTAATATTAATCAAAACAGTATCTATTCTACAGATATAATAGAATCGGCGACAGGGAGAGAAAAAAAAATTATGATTGTTGTAATTTTTTTTTTCTGGTTAAGTGATATCTTATTATGTAAATTAGAGAACATAAATCTATTCCATTAAAGCAAGGAAGGTGATAGGAAGTGGATAAAATGAAAACTACATTTATTTAACTCGGTACTGCCTTTAATATACCGGGTGCGTCCCAAAAATGGCTCATACATATATTTTTTTCAAATAAAAAAACAAGATTTAGTATGTTAGTATATGACATAAATTAGGATTGATTGACGCATTCAATTGTTTTTGGTCACTTCCTGTTTCACCGGAAATGACTATAACTTTTAATTTTTAAATGACACCCTCGGTATATTTCTACTTTATTCGATAGAAAATGACACTCTGAATAGAATGACATATCATATGTCAACTTTTGACATTTTCGCATATGGTTTAATTGTAATTGTAACACGCGGTTCATAACGACAATTTGACTCGGAATACCAAGTGTTATCAATATATTCATAAAAAATGCTTTTTCCAAATATGCTAATGAGTCATCCTTGTTCCATTTGAAAAAATTGACATATGATTAAAAATACATTTTGTACATCTTTTAACCGGCCTAGACAAGACACGAAACTCAGGCTCCTTCCAAGGCTCCTTGATTAAAACTTAGTGTTTTTAACAACACCATGGCACCCTGGATTGAAATTTAAAATACGATTTGTTTTTAAGCGACAATGTCAAAAGTTGACATATGATATGTCATTCTATTCAGAGTGTCATTTTTTATCGAATAAAGTAGCAATATACCGAAAGCCGAAAATTTTTTTATTGATAAAGATTTTCACATACTGTCTACAAAGAAAATACAGCAGAAATATTAACAAAGTTCTTGAAAAAACTACAATCTATTATTTCTAATAGATTTCGAGATATCGATTTTAGAATTCAGAGTTCTAATAGCGCGACCACTATCGAACACCCACTAAATTCCACTTATTTTTATCAAAAATGCAAGTGTTTCTAGCTTGCACTTAAAAAAATTCAAGCTATAGGGAAAATGACAACGACTCGTTAATAAATAAACAAATTAAGTATCACGAGACGTAATTAAATCGTGAAGCTGAACGCATGACGTACACCTTTCCCTAGAACTTTAAGTACTGACAGAGGTATTGATTGGGTCGACCGGTCAACTGCGACAAATCTGCTATATCCCCTTCCACGTCTCTTAGCGATGTGCACAGTTTCTCGGTTTATTTCATACGTTTGGCAACGTGTTTACTCTCCTCTCTTTGTTCAGTACATTATAAACGCATTGTACTCTTCTTACATACGGAAATCTCGACCCAAGACTAACCTTTGCCAGCCCTTAGTATGTTTTCGTTGGATAAACTCTTGATATATATAGATATTCAAATCATGGTCTTTTTTCTTCGGAAGGTTTAAATATATTTGTTACTGTATGTGGTTTAATAGGAGACGAAATATATTATTCTCAATACGTTCATTTTTTATCGTTTCAGAGTATGCTATGTAGAGAAAGTTGTGCTAGAAGTATCCCTACAGTCACATCAATGGTTTTAGCGGAAATTCCAAATGAAATTAATATAAAATGGTATCACACTTTTAAAGATTTAGCTGGCGACCCTTGTTATATTGTAAGAAAAGCTGTTGCTGCTACTTTGGACGAAACTATAAGGGTTTTAGGTAAATAATACAATTTTATATTATTTTATGTTCGTTAAAACACATTTAACTGTAAAGAAGGTCGCATATTAATGTATATATTAGTAAGAAGATATTTATTATACTTGATACATACAGGGTGGAGAATCCAAGGCAAACGGTATTTTATATCGAAATGAAACTCTATACTCTATATCTGAAATTTATATACTCTATATCTCGAAGAGAAATCGAAGAAGATATCAAGTGTGTTATATTTTTGGAAAGGTAATTTTAAATTCTTTTCAATAAATTAAAAATATACAGGGTGTCCCATATAAAAAATCAAATTTTCTGTTGATAATTCTTAAATTATTAATTTTAAAAAAAGTATACTTAAACCATTAAATTCTACGTAAAAAGGTGCTTTGGAAATGTTTTCATAAAAATTTCCATAGCAAAAAGTTACAGCGATTTGTTAAAAATGCATATTTTTGAAAAACACCACGTAACTCCGAAACAGTAACAGATATCGATATGCGGGTTTCACCATCATGTTTTTGACAAAAATTGAGCTCCAGACACCGATATTAGTTTTTGTCTTCTCATATAGAAAGGGGTGTTTCCATTTAAAAGCGTCGAATTTCACCCATCCTGTACAGGGTAAATTACATGAATATATACAAGGTAATCCAAATTTCTACAAAATGTGAAATGTAATTGTATAATATAATTAACTGTATAGCCTGATATTTATTTAAAATAACCATTGTATGTTAAACCAAATTAAAATTTGACCCAAAAAGTTGGTGCGAAACAAAATTAATATTGAACATTGATCACTTTTAAAAGCAAGTTACTCCTTTATTTTAAATGGAACACCCAGTATATTGTTTCGATATTCAATGGACAGTTATGCGGTTATTTTAGTTTGTTAGTTTTATTTTTATTGTTCTTCTAGAATCCGAAAAGCAATTAATATACAGGGTGTTTCAAAACAAATGCGAAAAACTTTAGGGGGTGATTCCTTGTTCAAAATAAAGGGTAGTTTGCTTTATAAACGTTGGGTTTTAATTAAAAAATAAAATGTAAAGTATTACATGTCAGGACAAAAAACATTTTTAGATTAAGAATCTAGTGATAATAACGATAATAATAATCATCTAGATAATAACGTGTTGCAGTAGAGTAATGTCAAATAAAATAATATTAGGAACATCCTAAAAAGTAACAGCGGCCGACTAGATTTTTTCCTAAAAAAATTACAGCAGCCCGCTAGATTCTTTATCAGAAAATGTTTTTTGTCCTGACATGTAATGCTTTACATTTTATTTTTTAATTTCAAATCGGTGAGTTTTATCAAAAAAATACAAGAGATAAAAAAGTTTCTAAACAAACTAAACTATCCAAATTAATTTTTTTGCATGTGTTTGATAAGATTTTTCTTTAAATTTCGTTAACAAGAATGATAGGGGTAGTTTATTTCAACCTCTGCCACTCATTTTAAAAAAGTGAAAAAATTACCAGAAAGTGTGTTTTCATAACAGTAATGCTTCCATAAACTTTTATTAGTCTATCTCTTTTCGTTTTCAAGATAAAAAATAAAAACATTATTTTTCCGCCATTTTTGTACCGCAATATCTCCCTAATGGTTGACTTTTGACCCAACGTTTATGAAGCAAACTACCCTTTATTTTGAACAAGGAATCACCCCCTGAAGTTTTTCGCATTTGTTTTGAAACACCCTGTATAGAGTGTTCTATTACAAAAAATACAACTTTGTTGTGTAACTTTTTGCGGATATCCTGTAGAACTCTCTATATTTTGAAAAAATGCTCTAAATTAACCTACACAAAATTTAATTTCAAGACAAACTGCCTTTCTCCTTGGAGCCTCCGCGTCGTATGAGAGGCTCCACCCTGTATAATCATGTCCACGCCATTGCTCTTATGGTAAATATTTTTTTTCTTTATATATTTAGCAAAAAACACGCCGTACTTGAAAAATTTTCCTCGTTTTTCGGCGGTATCATGTTCGTCTTCTTCTTCTGGTGCCGTCCGCTTCAGTAGCGTGTTGGCGTTCATAAATATGTTCACTTGGCGCGATCTTCTCTGGGTACGATATAAAGTGTGCCCTCCTTAGCTCTTCTCAATGTTACGCCATTTACGGATATTGCGAAGCCATGAATGCTGTTTCCGGCCTGATCCTCTTCTTCCTTTGATCTTTTCCATAAGTATTGTTTTTAGGAGGGTGTACCTAGGACCTCGCAGTATGTACACACACCGGAAAAATCTAGGGATATTATTTTATTAAAGTTAAAAATAAATGTTTTGAATAAACAACCACATATTTGTAGGCCGATTCTTTCTACTTCGATTGAAACGAAGTAGTCACACTAGCTATTTCTAAATTTGAGATATTTGCAGAAGTGTTTGTGCATTTTTTGTCAAATGTATAAAAAGCACTAGCATCAATTGTTCGAATTTAACCTGTACTGGCAATGTTTTTATGATAATTGGCTAGAATTCATTCAAATAACTCTGTTTAGTATTAAACGACATTATGGAGCGTATATATCTTAACAGAGATGAAATGCTAAGGGCTATGGGTATGCTCGAAGCTGGAATGCGTCAAATCGACGTAGCTAGAGCATTAAATACAACGCATTAAATACAGTGTAATATCGCGATTAAGTGCACGCTACCGTGAAAGTGGTGATGTTGCTGAAAGGCACACAGGGCGACATCGCATTACTATCCCTCAGCAAGATCATTTTTTACAATTAAATGCTCGACGCCGACAGACTCTTACAGAACCAGAGCTTAGTTTAATTCTCCAGGAAACACATAATGTATCCGTTAGTCCTGACACTGTTCGCAATAGATTAAGACAGGTCAACTTAAGAAGCAGACGGCTCTGGAGAGCTCAACCCTTAACGAGAGGAAATCGAGAGGTACGATATTTGTGGGCTCAAGATCATGTTCAGTGGTCGAATGAACAATGGGCCAATGTTCTCTTCACGGATGAGTCACGCTTTGGAATTCATCCGGATTCGAGAAGGCTTAGGGTATGGAGAGAACCGGGAAATCTTATTCGGTTGTATCATGTTCAGGAAGTGCACCCTTATCAAGGTGGAACAGTTATGGTCTGGGGAGGAGTCCAGTTAGGCCGAAAAACCGATCTCGTTTTTCTTTAAAGGTTTCTAACAGGAATCGCATATCGTGATTCAATTCTTGAGCCTGTCGTGTTACCATATGCCAATGATTTTGGGAGAAACTTCATTCTCATGCATGACAATGCACGGCCTCATACAGCCAGAGTGCCGGCACAATATTCTGACCTCAACCCCATCGAGCACGTATGGGACGCGGTCCAAAGAAGAATTTTGAGAATGGGTATGCCTCGTGAAACTCGTAAGGATCTGGTTCGGGCCGTGAATGCAGCGTGGCAGGCTGTACCTCAAGAAGAGATCGACAACCTGATCAGGAGCATGGAGAGACGATGTAGGGCTGTAATGAACAGTAGAGGAGGCCATACCCTTTATTAAGTAAAAATGGTTTTATCTTTTTTTTTAATTCACAGTTTAGAATTAAAAAAAATGTGTGTATTTTTTTGAGTTCAATAAAAATCAAGGTAAATTTGAAAAATTCGGTAAATTTCGCATTTTTATTTCCAATACGTCCTGTAAACTATTTGTTTATTTTAATTTTATTATATCAGAAATGCAAATAATAAAATTACTGACGATGGCTGGATAAAATTGTAATATCCCTAGACTTTTCTGGTGTGTGTATGACCCAAAAATGACGTCTTCCTTTGTTTCACTATTTCTAAGAGCTGGCCTACAGTGGGGTATTTGACACAGATAGTTGATCGATATTTTTTTATGTAGACCATATATAAATTATTGCTATTTTCAATTAAAGAGGAAATAATATGAACAAAATAGAGGATAATTCGTCGATTCTAAAAAAAGAAAGAAAAATCACTGTTCCAGTGTTTCCACGGTCAATGCCACTAATGCCAGTAGTAATATCGCAACTAATACTACTAATGCTACGACTGATCCGCGAGCAATGCCCATACCACTAAAGTCGCTACTAATGCCAAATTGTGCTATACTGCTAATAGCACTAATGCGATCGCTTTGTACACAACAATGCCATCGCGGTTTACACCTCGCATTAGTATATCACTGATTGGCATATTAGAGGAAACCAAGAATGTTTTTCTCATTTTATCAGCAAAGTCGCAAAAAGTCGCAGTATTTTATTTTACTGTATGAAAGCCTAATGTTTACTAAGTAAAACGTATATACACAATATGCCGAATTCTTCGAAATGCGCAACTAAATCTCAAAGTAATAATAAAAATGTCACAAATTTAATCAAATTTTCTAAACGCCTAACTTTTAGTTGCAAAAAAAAATCCTTAGTATAGAGAATATCAAAATAAATAATACGTTTTTGTAGAATACATACCTGCAGCTTGCTGAGCCATTTTCAATCAAAACAATAATATAAACGTAAAAAGAGCACAAGAACAACAACAATTTATAATTTTAAACATTAAATTTAGCCATTTACCTCTTATCTGTGAGAAGTAACAACTTTGACGCATAGATAAATGCAACAAGTTTAATTCGCGAAATTATTTTCGGTCGCGACCGTTATACGCGATCTGGCGCTGCTATAGCGGTCGCTAAGAACAACGGCAAACAAAAACAGAAATAATTTTCTCTTGTCGAAGTCAGAATCTTCAAAAATCATAATAATCTTTCAAATTTTAAACCGCTCTCATTAAAGAAATTCCGAAAAGTGTTTATAGCATCCATTTTCAAAGTAATTATTGCTATCTTGTGAGTTTAATGCAAGTTTTATTTACTCCATCCGGTAATAATTGTGAAAAAGTGGCATTAAAAACTTAAAAAGCTGTGCTGTGAACTGCAAAAACCATCGTGGATCGTGGCATAACGTCGGTTTCCAATGTTTCATAGGTATTTCATACATGCGTCCTTATATAAAATAAAGTTTCTTGTATGCAACACACTGTATTTTATTTATAAAATTAAACGAAAATAATAATAAATTTGAATAAACAATATTTGGCGATATAATTCCGGAAAAAGCCGAACCGCTCCGAAATTTTCAAAAGTTTTGAGTCGCGACCGTTGCAAGAATAGCGCCAAATAGTGTTTACATTGTCCTTATGGCCACTTTCCAATCTAAACTTGTTTCATTTATCTATGCTTTGACGTTTCGTTGAAACAAATGAATGCAACTAAACACACCCATAGCAACGCCACTCATGGCAGACATGATTTAATTTATCATTTATCTTTTTTTGGGAAATCTTAAACACATTTGCTTTTTCGAATTTCGATCACCTTTTTCATGCTAATACCTCACCGTGTGCCGGTGCGTATTTGCTCTTTCTAAAAGTTGTTCATTTTATATGTGGTCAACCCAGGGAATTAGGTTATATTCTTATTATCCACATTTCTCAATCCTATTATCCTCACTACAATCCTCAATCCATGTTAGTAAATAAGTAAAACCGTTTAACGGCGGTCTTTCTTTCGTCAATTGGCTATACCGCCGGTAGTTTAGCCAGTTTGTTTTTAAAAAGTTGTTACGCGTGTAGTTTTTCTGTAATATTGATAAAACTTGATTAATATTGATACTTTAATTCTACTATTGTCACTTTAGGATCAGATAGTAAACTAATCGTATCTGAATTTGCAAAATTATTGCGAGATGATGACGAAGAAGTATTGCAGGAGATGGTTCCAAAAATATCAACGAATTTAGAAGTTTTTTCGACTACGGGAGTTTTGTCGCGAGGTGAAATTTAAACCGAATCTTAAAAACCGAATTAAAACTGAAATTTTATTACAGACTTAGCATTGCAAGCAACACTGGATATAGGCCGAGCTTTGCTGAAATGTGCGACTCAAGTATTTAAAACATTCAACTGGAGAATGAAAGAGTCGATTTTGGTTCAGTTTGAAGTGTTGCCGATGGTTATGCCGTCAGATTTTATACATCAGCATTTTACACAATTTATAATAAATGCATCTTTAAATGGGGTAAGTAATTGCTATAGTCTGTGAACCGAATAACTTTGAATTTGACATGTCCCGCGGGCTTTTCTAGTGTTAATTTTATTAGGTTAGCAACTTGCGGCCATGCTAACGCAATGCCGTCACTAATAGAACAGCCGCGAAGCGATATTTATGCCGTCACGCTAGTTAGATACTACGGATTAATAAATTTGTTGTAGAATACATGGAAAACATAATTATTCCACGTATTTTTGGTTTGTATTTTAACAATGATATAGTTTACATGAAATGTACATAAGTAATATACAGTTAATAAATACAATATATTGTATAAACGTATGTAATTTTTTAGATTATATTCGACACTATTTTATTCATATGACACAACACTGAAGAAGGCTATAATGTGTTAGCCGAAACGTTTTTTTAAACCAAATAAAAATAATGAAACTTAATCAGAAAATTTTAGAATAATTTTACATATAAAATGACAGCGACCTTTATTTCATAGCCATCGCTGACGCCTTTTTTTCTATGGTATTGTATTATTTGCAAATATAATTTTTCGAACATTGATATTTGCAAAATATACATATAAATTTTGTGAATGCAAATAATAATACATCACTATTAGTAGATATTGAATGTTTTTTGTTAAATGAGATCGATTTTCAAACCCCAAAATTTAAAATATATTTTACATTTTACCCATTATCTTATGTACCTATTCATTATTTGTATTTTGTAAAACATTTGCTGTATTTGTATGGTTCATAGTTTATTTGTCAAAGTATTTATTACTATAATTAGGTATATATGTAGTATTTATTAACTGTATATTACGTATATTTCATGTAAAACTATATCATTGTTAAAATACAAACCAAAAATAAGAGGAATAATTATATTTTCTATGTATTCTACAACATATTTGTTAATCCGTAGTATCTAACTAGTGTGGCGTCATCAATCTCGCTCCTAGGCTGTTCTATTAGAGACGGCATTGGTCTGATATTTAGAAATGTCAAAAGCTGATAACATTTTACTTTTGACAATTATGACATTTCGTGTTGATTTTTGCAAGAAGAGGAAGAACTGTCACTTGTTTTATTATTTTCCTTTTCTATTTCACGAAAGTAAAAAGAGTTACCTATCTGATTCGTTCAGGCACTCAATTTAAAGAATATCAGTAACTTTTTTGACAGAGGGATTTTATATTTGCCAATGTTGGTAAAAAATAACGGTCAAAATTCAAAGTTATTCATTTTATAGACTATACTGAAACAATGGAGCGTCCGGATTGCACAACGACCTTAGCGCATGGCCGCGGGCACCCAGTAGGCAAGCGAGACATGGACGCTTTGCTGCGCGCCGATTTTACAAAATAAATAATTTTAAAACTGCCGTCATTTCGTTAATAAATATCGTATCGTGCTGATTTTTGCATAGAAATACTCATGAGTCTTTAGCGCTTCCGACAAGCCTAAATAACTGGATTATTTTTTATATTTCCGATTTGTTTACATTGCCCGAGCATATTATAACTTTGAGATAAAAATCTCTGTTATAAATTTTAAAACTGACAAATATGAATACTATCATATAAGTTATACATTTAGTTACAATATATTCAAAATTTAGGTCTATCGGTTTGTGCTAGCAGTAATAACGAGTATAAATAAAAAAAATGGTCGGTACAACGCTCGCCGTTTTTAGCGCACGTTCAGCTTTGGGTTTAGTTTTAGCGCTATTTTTAAAGAAAATAAATTCTGAACTGTGATCAAATAACAAGAACATTATCATTGTCAATATCTCCTGGTTATAATGTAGTTCTTTTTTCAAAATATTGCATTGTTTTAGCTTAAAAAAAACCTGAATTATGCGGCTTTTTTTGAGAGAGCTACCGGAGCTGCGTAAATAAAGTGATGGCTATGTACGTCAATCATAGCCACAATAGACTGTAATTTTACCTCGTCACGAGATTTTTTGGAAATATTGCACTTCCATTTATCCGGATTTCTACTAACTTTTGACCTTTCTTTTCGGTCGCATTTCCCTCTATTTAATAATAAATAATTTAAAAAAAAACGCACAAATACTACTGGTAGTAAACAAGCTGTGGCAAAAATTTTCTATACTCCGTGTAAACAAAAGACTATCGCAAATACTGTCTTTCGATTAACGTACATAGCCATCTCTTTATTAACGCAGCGCCGGTAGCTCTCGCAAAAAAGCCGCATAATTCAAGTTCTTTTTAAGCTAAAACAATGCAATATTTTGAAAAAAGAACTACATTATAACCAGGAGATATCGGCAATGATAATGTTCTTGTCATTTGATCAAAGTTCAGAATTTATTTTCTATAAAAATAGCGCTAAAACTAAAATCAAAGCTGAACGTGCACTAAAAACGGCGAGCGTTGTACTGAACATTTTTTTATTTATACTCGTTATTACTGCTAGCATAAACCGATTGACCGAAATTTTGAATATGTTGTAACTAAATGTATAACTAATTAAATGATAGTATTCATATTTGTCAGTTTTAAAATTTATAACAGATTTTTATCTCAAAGTTATAATATGCTCGGGCAATGTAAACAAATCGAAAATATAAAAAATAATCCAGTTATTTAGGCTTGTCGGAAGCGTTAAAGACTCATGAATATTTCTATGCAAAAATCAACACGATACGATAATTATTAACGAAATGACGGCAGGTTTAAAATTATTTATTTTGTTAAATCGGCGCGCAACAACGCATGGCTGTCTCGCTTGCCTACTGGGCCAGTGCCTTCTATTAAAAGATCAGCCGACGGGCGGACTTTTGTTTACTTCATCAGCTGTACATACTTAGATATTGGGTTAGATTCCGTTTCATATTTTGTCGGTTGATTTTTGGTTTTAACTCTTTGATTTTTGGTATTATTTATTATTGTAGTGCAAAAAACTAATTATTTTGGTGTTGAAGTGACATAAACTACTACCAGATATATGGTCACTCTCGGTTTCGCATAAAAAAATAGAAATTTTAAAAATTACACGTTGTGTAAGTGATTTAACCTAAAAGTGCCCATACATTTTTTACTTATCGTGATTTTTGTGTGTGTTTTTTAAGACTCTAACAATTCATCAATAAAGCTTAAGTGGAGTGTGTTTTTGGTGCTATGCCTCATCTTTGTTGTGTTCCTGGTGGAAAGGATAGTTACTAAGGATAGTTATTATACTAGGCAGCCTAAAGTGTCCGGAAGAGCAAGAAAAGTGGGTACGAGTTATAAATCAAGAGAATTTTATTGAAAATATCTTTAATAAATTTAAAAATAATATTCTCCCATGATGGTATTAATGAAAACTGGACAATTATGTTATTTTATTCATATTGTGGAATCTCCACTCCAAGTGTTGCTGGTTCAGCTTCGATAGATTCAAACACGTAAGTAGGTATTATGATCTAGGGAAAAATAAAAAATATGTGTATTAGAGATCATGAAAAGATTATTATTTTGAGTTCAAATTTTAAAAAAGATTTTTGTAAAGACAAGACTGATACAGTTTAAAAAGAAGAATGTGTTTTTGTTTGATAATATATAATGTATGTTAAGCATAACATATATTTGTTCAGTAATTTTTAATGAATAGTATTGATTATTTATAATACCAAATTAATATCAAATATTTAAGTGATGGCTGAATACAATATGAATAAAATAACAATAAAATTGGTATATTTGCATAATACAAAATTAAGTTTTAAGAATAAAGGTGTTACTAAAAATACTAAGAAATTCATATTTCTTCGTTTTAATTGGTCTAATGTTATTTACATTTTACGTAAGAATTATACCGTATCATCGAAAAAAATCGGCGTCTAGTTGGCTTGGAAATGAACATCGATGACATTCCCTAAATAACTGTACACATAAAATAATTAACTAGAATTTTACAGTCTTGGAAAATTTGATATTCTTGAACCTTGATTCTAAATATTCTAAATTTTTTGATTTTCTTGGAATTTAGGTTCGGGAAAAACGCTGATTGATTTTTCATTTGGTTTTACATTATTTTTATTTGGTTTAAAAAAAACGGTTCGGCTAACATTATAGCCTCCATCAGTGTTGTGTCATATGAAAAAAATTAGTGTCGAATATAATCCAAAAAATTGCATATAAAATATTCACACCACGCACATAATGTTTACTGCGTACTCCATAGTCAATGTAGATAATTTTAGTGTTAAGAATAATAATTTAAAAAAATATGTGGTCATCTTTTGATAAGTTTATATTAGTTTATTAATTGCAGTAAACATTATGAGGTGTGAATTATATTGTATATGTAATTTTTGGATTATATTCGACACTATTTTTCTATGACACAACACTGTGAAGGCTATAGTTAGCCGAAACGTTTTTTTTAAACCAAATAAAAATAATGAAAAACCCAAATGAAAACTTAATCAGCGTTTTTCCCGAACCTAAAAATCCCAAGAAAATCAAAATTTTAGAATAATTTAACATATAAAATGCCAGCGATCTTCATTTCATAGCCATCGCTGACGCCTTTTTTAGATAATATTGTATTATTTGTAAATATAATTTTTCGAACATTGATACTTGCAAAATATACATATAAATTTTGTGAATGCAAATAATAATACATCACTATTAGTAGATATTAAACGTTTTTTGTTAAATTAGATCGATTTTCAAACCCCAAAATTTAAAATATATTTACATTTTACCCATTATCTTATGTACCTATACATTATTTGTACATTGTAAAACATTTGCTGCATTTGTATGGTTCATAGTTTATTTGCCAAAGTATTTATTACTATAAATAGGTATATATGTTGTAGTTATTAACTGTATATTATGTATATTTCATTTAAACTATATCATTTTTAAAATACAAACCAAAAATCTGAGGAATAATTATGTTTTCCATGTATTCTACAACATATTTATTAATCCTTTATATCTAACTAGCGTGACGTCATAAATCTCGCCCGTAGGCTGATCTTTTAATAGAAGGCACTGACTGGGCTGCCCGCGGCCACGCGCTAAGGTCGTTGTGCAATCCGGACGCTCATTTACTTTACCTATGAACTGTTTTAATTCACTAGAAAGCCAAACCTGTTAGATCGCAGGCAACAAGAACACTTCTAATATTTTTGCGTTATAATGCAAAGGACAATCACAGAAAATGGATATTGGAAAGTATCAGTAATAGATTATGCAACGCAAATTGTTGTTATACCAGGCAAATTTTTATAAACCTTTGCATCCATGCTATAAGCATATTTAGCAAGAAATTTTTTAAAGAGCACTTTTATCTACCTCTTTTATCATTGACAGGTAAGTTGTAATTTACTATTAATACTTTAAAAATCATTAAACATAGGTACGATACAAGGATACTATATAGAGATGAGGATAGTTCGATTCCTTTCTTCCTGCACTGTCAGTTTTTTTTACGTCATCTACTGACCGAGTTGAAGTTGGCGCTAAAGATTTTAGTCAGTGACAGTTATTTTTGCATTTGACGGACGAGCGCACAGTGCGTTGGAAGATAAATTTAGCGGGACAAAAGCGTTTGGTTAGAAATAAGCCAAAAAATGTGTACTGATAAGAATAAATAGTAGACATTCCAATTGATACAAAAATGCATGAATATTCTTGGTATTTCGATACATTTTTATCAACCAAATTTGGTCGTTTTCTGCTCAGCAAGGCAGAGATCATACGAAAACAAAATATTTACAAGTGCTTATACATTTTATTAGAAAGTCAAATTATGTTGAAGATTGCCAAAGGTATGTACTTTTCTACTGTACGTTTATTATATGTTAAAATCCTTCGTGCCTTTGTTCTGCAGATATCAAACTTTCACTTTTTTTTCAAATATCGATATATTGAATGATGTAGATCTTTTGAGTTACCAATAGTTACCAACACAGGTAGTCACAGTCACAGAGAGTTCAAGCTTAAGAGGTGAATGCCCAAAAAGATTCATTTCAATCGGATAGTATAAAAACAAAACAACTCCATCAAAAGGCACTGAGTTTAAAAAATTGTCTAAGATACTTACTATATATGAATTTACAATTACCGAGTGTTAAAATTAAAATTAAAATATCTATCTTATTTATTATTTTCAAAATAAAATATATATTTTTTTTAAAATAAATTATAGAGGGTGTCACAAGATTACAAATTAATTAAAAAAATAACTGCTAAAGAGTTTTTTGATATCATAATTTTATGTATTTGGCAATAGTTTACAATACGGTTTTTGTGTGTCATGTACGAATAATATCATAGTTTTATTATCTTGTATTTATTTATTAATAAATTAAGTTGTTAATAAATAAATAAATTTAACCATATAGTTGCTATATATTAGACCATTTGCTACGTTCTTAGATTTTAACTCCCAAACGTTGGTCTTGAGATTTTGTCCCGCTAGAATAACCATCCGCCGCACTGTGGAGCGCTGGTCAGCGCGTGACGTAGCATTCCACGGCGACTACGACAGCGGCGATTTGACGCGATCGAACAGTCCTTTAGAATATATACAGTCCTTGGGTTTCCATAACAATGTATAATTTGTACTTTCTAAACCCTTTGAATAAGAAGACTAAGGGAGGAGCATAATGCTATCCATGTATTCATGCATGGTGGGCGGAAAAAGGACTCTAGGGTGGGGATCCTTGACAGTTCTGTTTGACGATTCATTTGACACATTTGAATTTGATTTGAAATTTTGTGGATTTGTCAGTCTTTACGGAGCTTATTTTATGTTATTTATTATTTATTCTACTACTGATAGTTGTATAAAGGTAGTAAATCTAGATGGAAATTGTGGCAGAACTTAAATAAACAGTGACAATGTCGCGATTTATCGAAAAAGACTCTAAAATAGTTGGTTGTGTAGCGTGCGGTAGATGTCGGTAAAAATCGAGTGAAATAATGGAACAACTTTTCGCTAGTAAGTGACTATATAATATACATACATGTAGTAAACCGATCATTTATGAAATTTACCTAAGTTAACTAATTATATATTTTTTCTTGCATTTTTGCTTTTATTTACTACTTGTCAAAGATTAGATGTCAAAGAATTTAGATACGTCAATTTGACTTACCTGCTTCAGTAGCGTATCGGATGTTTATGGTTATAAATAATTATTACAACTTATCTATTTTTATTAGAATTTTATATTTTTATAACAATTTTAATAACTACCAACATTTATTCACAACGTAAAATAAAAAAAAAATATTGAGTCTACCCCACGCCTACCCTACATCATAGTTTTACATTTTTTAAATAAAATTAGAACGGCACTGATAAACTGGAATTTAAGTCGGCCATATTTGAGGCCCATCGCGGTAGACCTAAGATTTTTGATATGCTCCTTCCTTAATCTTCTTATTCAAAGTCTAAACCGGATAAAATTGTAATTATTTTGGAAATACGTGCCAATTTTAATGCGCATGCGTAAAGTCAGGTCCTCGAGAAAGACAAACCTATTGAACGTTTCATAAGTGATGGCATGTCGTGATGTTGGGGACATATTTTTTAATGCTAAACTTATGGCGTTAATCCACCATCGATAATGAAACTAAAAATGCATTTGGTATCGCTTATAGATCGTTAATTTATCTTTTCATAGGTCTTTAATTATGCAGATAAATAATAATATACAATATTAAATTGTGATAAAAAATAATTAGGCAAACAGGTCAACACATAATCAAGGCCCGCTTCGATATAAAGATAAAACACCTAATATTTCTCTCAGTTTTAGAAATAGAAACCCATAACTTATGTTGTCGCAAAGGGTTAAACATTTTTAAACAAAAACACAGCGAAAAGCATTTTCTTAAGTTCATAACCAACTATAATTTCTATTTGAAATAAAATACATATTTTTTATTCCTGGCAAAGAGAGCAAGCATAGAAAAACAAACTGACTACGGCACTGGATTGTGCTTAAAAAAGTGCCTTAAGAACGTTTTCACTGAATTTTATTACTTCAGCGAAATAAAAAAGTTATGGGCAATTTAGACCCCGTATCTCAGTAAGTAGTCTCTGTTAAAACAAAGACCCTGTACAATTCAAAAATCAACAAATTCAGGGATTTATTTAAGAAAACTGGTAGTCATTTCTGGTTTAACCCTTTGAATAAGAAGACTAAGGAAGGAGCATATCAAAAATCTTAGGTCCACCGCCATGGGACTCGAATATGGCCGACTTAAATTCTGGTTTATCAGTGCCGTTCTAATTTTATTTTAAAAATGTTAAACTAGACTCAATAATTTTTTTTTTTGTTATTTTACGTTGTGAATAAATGTTGGTAGTTATTAAAACTGTTATAAAAACATATTATTATAATAAAAATAGATAAGTTTTAATAATTATTTATTAACACAAACATCCGATACGTTACTGAAGCAGGTAAGTCAAATTGACGTATCTAAATTCTTTGACATCTAATCTTTGACAAGTAGTAAATAAAAGCAAAAATGCAAGAAAAAATATATAATTAGTTAATTTGAGTGAATTTCATAAATGATCGGTTTACTACACGTATGTATATTATATAGTCACTTACCAGAGCGAAAAGTTGTTCCATTATTTCACTCGATTTTTGCCGAGATCTACCGCACGCTACACAACCAACTATTTTAGAGTCTTTTTCGATAAATCGCGATAGTGTCACTGTTAATTTAAGTTCTGCCACAATTTCCATCTAGATTTACTACCTTTATACAACTATCAGTAGTAGAATAAATAATAAATAACATAAAATAAGCTCCGTAAAGACTGACAAATCCACAAAATTTCAAATCAAATTCAAATGTGTCAAATGAATCGTCAAACAGAACTGTTAAGGATCCCCACCCTAGAGTCCTTTTTCCGCCCACCATGCATGAATACATGGATAGTATTATGCTCCTTCCTTAGTCTTCTTATTCAAAGGTTTAACCGGTTTAATCCACAAAACACATACACAAGAAGAAGTGCGAGCGCCTTGCTAAATATTGGAAAGTGAAATTGACGTTTAAATTTGACCCTGTTGACAAGTTTACTGCTACTAGCGCCCCCAATTTCGCTTGTAGGAACTACGGACTAAATTGGCACGCATGGCGGGAAGTTTAAAAAGATGAAAAAATTTATTTCTTCATTTATTTTTAATTATGACATACACAAAACCACAAAAAATACACCATTTTTTAAAAATATGTTTAATATTATCAATATCAAATATACAACAGAAATTAAAAAAACAAAAATTAATAAAATTAAAAGAATAATGTTACAAGTGGATCAAGAGACAAAATTAATTATAACAAAACTGAAAAAAATGGCGTCATAGATAGCTTAGAAATAAAAGATATGTCTTCGATCATCATTTTTAAGCCAACTGGACGATTATTTCAAACATACAAGCTGAGTTCGTTCATAGTGCTCTGAGAAATCTAGATAAACAGAGAATAATAAATTAAAAGTATTCCAGGGGAAAAGAGAGGAAAAACCTGTATCGTCTCTGATATCTGTCAGGGTATTGTTGAAAGTGTCATCTTTTTGCTCGAAGTTTTCAGGTCGATCAAAAAGATGACATTTACAACAATACTTTGCTGTAACTTTCACAAATATCAGAGAGAGTACATACAGGTATTGCCTCTCTTTTCCTCTGGGATGCTTTATATCTGTTGTTCTTTGTTTATCTATATTTCTCAGAGCATAATGCCGAACACGACTACAGTATATAATAATTTCAATATCCGAAGTGGAAAGAAAAAAGATCACCTTTCTGTTTTGTACTATGGTCCCTTTCTTCCGATGGCTCATCTCGTTGATATTTAGGAAGGATAAATAGGAAGGAAAATATAAAATTCAATTTGATTTGATGATCCTTTTCTGTCACCTAAAATCAGGAGAACGACAATGAGCATGTTAAGATGAAAAAAAAATTATCAACACTTACCTACACGTTAGTCCGAGGAGTTTTATTAAAAACCTATATATTTGCCTAAATAATTTATGTATTAAATTTGCAAAGCAAAATGCAGCGTGTAAACAAAAGAAATAAAATGGCGACAAGTCAACGTCAACGACCCGACAAGGAGAAAAGTGGTGTTCGAATAACAAATTATGGGTCACCAAAAATTGTTTTTGTCTCCTTTCAACGCACACTTTAGAAAGAAAAAGAGATGAACTGGAATACTGACAGAACGTCAAGGTTTTATCTGTCACTCTTGTCAATAATTTATCGGTAAGGAAGATTCCTAGAAAATCGCTTGTAGTCAAGTTTTCAACCATTGCCAGTTCTCCCATAAGAAGTGTCATCCACCTGAGTTTAATCTGTCAGGAAGTGGAAAATAATATTTTCCATTTTAAAACATTTTCAAAATATTTTATAAAGTAAACACATTTGCATTTGTATTAAAATTAGATCCAAGAAAACTTTTAATAAAACAGTTGCGTGAAAAAAAAAACTTTCAAATCTGCATTTGAAAGAGTTTCTTAAGATATAACTTTAAATATTAATTTTATTTTACAGATGACCCTGTCTCTGTAGTACGACTTTCTGTAATCAAACTGTGCCCGATTTTAAAACAAATGCTAAGTCTTCCCGACGATAGAGCCCTTCAACTAAAGCTTGAGAATATTTTGTCCAAAATGGAAATGATTGAATCGGACATAGATGTAATCAGAGCATTACGTTGCAAGCTAAAAGATATGAGAAGCCTTCCATTAAATAAAACTGATGCATTAATAGAAGAGAAACGCAGACTTGATGAGGAGGAAAAAATTTCAAAGGGAAAAATTCCAACAAAACTGCCAACACCATTGAAACGTAATTATGACATGTTTGTTTTGTGTGCATATTATATCAACACAATGTCGTAATTTTTAGCTACAAAGCCTGACCCAATTTTGACAAATATAGATATGTCCAAGCCAACAGCAGCAAAAAGTCTCAAAAAAACGGTTCCTAGCACTATTAGGTATGTACTGTTGATAATGTTTTAATCGTTGATTTATTTTTTTTTATATTATGTATCAAAATATTTAGCGGGTGGTTTGGTTTGTATTATGAAATATTTACTTTAGCATCTAAAATGTTTCCCTAAACATTCTACAATTACCTAATATGTATTCATTGTTAAAGTACCCCCGCGATTCACACGCCTCTGGTTAAAGTTAACATTGTCCAACAGTTTACACGAAATAATCGAACATACTAACAGTAATTTATGTCCTAAGATTGGTTGAGATAGCTGAAATAGTTTGGAAGCTATAAGATGAAAAGTGGGTAGTTTTAACGCTATCTACAAAAGCCCTAACTCCGTGAGCAAGGGTTTGTGGACGCATATTCGTATAAACATTTTTCTTATGTCCATGTATCCTATCTACACTACAAGTTCTCTTTCATTACACTCTGCATAGCTGGTTTCAGCTGATTTCTTAATTCTACCAACTATATAGTCTGTCCAACGAGAAGATCCTTGACAGTGATAGATGTGTCTGTCATTTTAATTTCAAAGTAGTTTATTTTATTTTATAAAGAAATAAGTTGGTACAACTGGAACGCATAGCAGGAAATATTTAAAATTTGATTGACAAGATGACAAGTGATTACTTCAAAATATTGTGAATAAAACTGAAAAAATGTAATCGAGTTATTTTATTTAATAAAAACGGTATGTGTTAATACAAAACAAACAAGAACAAGACACTACATACCAAAAAAATATAAAAAAGAACTATTATTTACTTTCAAGCTTTATGAAATTACCCGCATTTATGATTATATTTATCAATATTACTTATGTACAAATACAAATTTGTAATATTCCACAGGAATAAATAAAACAACATAGGTAAATAAAACAAACTATTTTATTAATAATAACTCCTACCAAATTTTATACCTAAAAGGTTGATTAATTAACTTTAATCTTAATTTTTTTTAAACCAGTACCTTTTGACATTATTTTTCTACAGTACTAAAATCCATTATTTACCTATCGTGTGATTTTGATATTTTACTATTTAGTTTGATCCTTCTACCATATACGAGATGCACTTATCTACGACGAAATGGTATACAAACTTTATCGATGGCAACTTCATTGGTGTATAAGACTTTCTGCCTGGGCAGCGAGTATTAACCATAAACTGTGCTCTGGGTCTACAGTTAATTTTCACTCGATTTTTCCTCCACTTAACTTCAAAAGACACAAAACACACGTAATAATTCGCATCAAATCTTCCAAAACGCAGGGTATTTAACAAAAGTTGACACAAAATTATAACCTATAATTTGGCAAGACTTTGACAAGCGTCAAAAATGACAAAAATCTAAAGGCGAGTTCATACGCATCGGCGTCCGTTTGTCGTTCATCGTTCCGTCAAACCAATAAAATTGAAATACGATCTGTCATTTTTTAAATAAACCAATAAAACTGGTTAAAAACAACAAGACACGACGCATGACGGATTTATATTTAAACCCATCCATAGATAACTTAAAAATTATTAGAAACTTTTTTTAGTAAAATAAATAGATTGGTATGGGATGTCATCTGCTTTTCTTCTGTCATCGTCTGTCGAAATCTTACCTGAGAAAAAAAACAGAGTATACCTAACTCTATACCGGGTGCGTCTCAAAAGTGGCTCACCCCTATAACTTTTTTATTTTTTCCGATAAAAAAACGAGATTTGGTACGTTTGTATATGACATAAATTAGTATTGATTGACCACAACTTTTGATTTTTAAATGACACACTCGGTATTTTTTTACTTTATTCGATTGAAAATGACACTCTGAATCGAATGACATATCATATGTCAACTTTTTACATATTCGCTGAAAAACAAATTGTATTTTAAATTTCAATCTAGAGTGCCATGACTGTCGTATTTTTAATCATATCTCAATTTTTTCAAATGGAACGAGGGTGGCTCATTAGCATGTTTTGAAAAAGCATTTTTTACGAATAATTTGATACCACACACTTGGTATTTCGAGCCAAATTGTCGTTATGAACCGCATGTTACAATTTCAAATAAACCATATGCGAAAATGTCAAAAGTTGACATATGATATGTCATTCGATTCAGAGTGTCATTTTCTATCAAATAAAGTAAAAAAAATACCGAGGGTGTCATTTAAAAATCAAGAGTTATAGTCATTTCCTGTGAAACCCGAAGTGACAGAAATCAATTGAATACGTCAATCAATCCCAATTTATGTCATATTCTAACATTCCAAATCTCATTGTTTTATCTGAAAAAATAAAAAAGTTATAGGGGTGAGCCACTTTTGAGACGCACCCGGTATAGGCACAGATTAGGTGTACTATATGTATACAGATAAAAATCTTATCCCTATTTCGTGGTACGAAAATTGTTTTTTATGACGATGTGCAAACGAGTAAAATTTCCTGTGCGCAAAAATAAACTCGCGTAAAATAACAAAAAACAGCGTAATAGAGAGATATCGCTAAACCGAATAGCGTGCATGGACGTTAATAAGGTCAGGTGTTATTTCCTTTACGTGAGGTGGTATTAACTCTCTTCATTTATAGTTATCGGATCGGAAAGAATTCTGTTCGCGTCGTGTCCGCTATTTAAACTTAACCTAACTTTGAATTTAAAACTTTGAAATTGTTTTGTTTACTAGGTATTTTAAAATTAAAGGGCTAAAGTGCTTATTTCCAGTGCTTTATTGTTCAACGTCTGCCAGTGGGTTTAGGGCAACAAGCAACAAATTCTCTTAGAAGGGCTAAGTCGTCTTCTGCTGTAAACCTAAGCCTCTTTATAGGTTCTTTAATATTGGAAGAGGTGGAATCTATATTTTGGGCCATATTTATTTAATTAAAGCTAATCCCAGCTACTTAAATATCAAATTACCTAATAAAACTAAAGTAATAATTCAAAACAATTCAAACATAACTTAAAATAAAAGATCTCGCCGCTCGCCGGCCGGCCCCGGTTGTCAAATGTACCCGCACATGCGCATTTAAGCAATTTTTAAACTTTATTTAGAAATAGCGTTTGGTGTAATTGATCCGCAAATTACGTCAGGCGGTAACGTTATTAGCGGGTGTTGCGGTAAAAATTGACTCGCGCATATCGTAACTATGATACGGTACGCGTAAATACTCCATGACGCTATTCGGTTTTCCGATATCTCTCTAATAACTGTGCCGGTCAGGCGCTGTGCACAATTTTAGAGGCCATAAGTGGGCGTGCTATGTGCGCAAACTATTAACCTAACTAGTGCCCGATTCCGAAAATTGGAACCACGAAAAACAATAAAGAAAAAACAAAGTTTATAATCTGTATAATCTGTGATATAGGTATAAACAGTGGGAGAATCAACAATATTTGAGGCCTTGACATTTGAGGCTTATTCGGTAAACATACCGGTGAATCCACTGGTAGAGAAAATGAAGCTGAATGCCAACGGTAACTGTTGTGACAGTCCTGACAGCCCACAATATTTTGTCTCCATTTTATTCAAACTCAAATAGTTATTTACCTTTTTTTTTAAATATTAATATACGATGATTGATATCGATGATTGACCCATGATAGAAGGAGATTATTGCTGGTATGGCGCTCGTGGCTTTTTCTTAGCTGATTAGTACGTTACCGATGAATATGCTAAACGTCCCCATTATTGGTTTCTCCTTGCAGCTTTCAGTATACCAGGGGAAATATTTTTTTTCCCGTGAGTCCTAAACGAATGTCCCGCAAAAAATCTAATGTTTAATGTAATTTAAAATTTCCCGTAAGAATTGTTTCTGTCATTTTACAAACCATACTTGATGGTAAATGTTTTTGATCGTATTGTCGATATAATTTATTTACTTGTAGAAGTGCCACCGTACCAACATTAGCATTAAAAGTTATAAAATACAGAATGCATTTTTCTATTTTTTTTTATACTATCTAAGCTGCTTTGTTACACGCTGTTAACCTGCTTTTTCCTATAAAACCTATAAAAATACTAATATAACGCTAATCTAGTTTCAATTTTTGTTGACACAAGCTTATTTTTGTTGCAGCGATATGCCTTTTCTTGGCCAACATTTTTATATCGATGCAGGTGTATCGTTTTCCAATTATTTGAATTCAAGTGCTGAGGATGCTAAAGTGAATCGCAATCTATATCTTACAAAGGATAGCACTTATAGAACGAAAAGCTACACAGATAAACGTTGTGTGAGCATAAATGTTAGCGAAATGGACAATATCAATGATAAAAGTGATTTCATAACATCGGTAGGCAATGTGAATGTAGATACACTAACGGATGTGGATTTGAAAAAGCTGGAAATAACAACAAACATAACTGATGACGTAAAAGCTAGTATTCAAAAAATTTCTAAAGAAAGTCAGTTGAATAAGAGATCAAAAAGATATTCTTATACATTTCTTAATGATACGAAGGAAGATACAGAGAAGAAAAGGAGAGAAAAATTATTAAAAAGGAGAAGCTTAAATATATCTATTGCAGGCGATAGTAAAATACCTGTAAGCTCAAAGACAGGAAATAAATTGCTCTATTCTGAAAAGTGCAAATCGTCCAGTGACCAGAACTTAAGCTTAAGTTCAATTATATCTCCAAAAAACAATGTATGCAAGGTTCCACGAAATGAAATGAAATTGGCGAATACAGAGGTCAGAAGAAATTTTGTTAAAACACCGGTATCAAATCCGGGAGATACATTGTCTCATGGTAATCAAAAGAAGTTTTCTATGTTCAAAGAGGAGTCGTCAATTGACGCAGTGTATGATGTAGAAACCATAAAGTTTCGACCAGGCGGAGAAAAAAATGATGGAAAAAGTACTTTCCAAGTTGTGAAGAGTAGCAAGAATCGAGAAAGGCGAAAATCGTCTTCCAATTTACCAGTATTAATAACCAGGTAGCTTTTATTAAATGCGTTTATTTTTTATGCTTTTTTTACTATATTTAATCTATTTTTCTCACTGCCATGATATATTTCGCTAAATAAGTAATGTAAAACACAAGCTATTGAAGTAATTTCTTTTCGTATGTATATAATTTCTTTCCCTGTGCTTTCCAAATCTAAATAAAAAATCTAAGGAAGGTCAAATACTATCTTTATTTTCAAAAAAGTGCAGTGACGCACAGTGCTAATCAAAGTACGGTAGATAACATTTGGCAAAATAATAAAAATAGCACAACTAATTAATTATGTATTCAATATAATTATTTTTTACTCTGAATTGGGGGAAAATCTCTCGTCTCCTTTGACTCGTGCTGGAGACCGCCTCCAGACCGAGCGCTTCCAAGAGGAGGCGAGAGGCACCGAGGCAAGACGAGATCCCCAGGTACACATTCGCCTTGTCTCGCTTCAGCGAGCGTGTACTTGGTACAAAACGTTCAGAGTACGAGGCGAGAGGACCCGAGAGCAGGCGAGAGCCCCAAGTACACACTCGCCTCGTCTCGGCCTCGGGTCGTCTCGGCGAGTGTGTACTTGCACCATTAGATGTTCATAAAACATTTAATCACTATTTGATTAAAAAAAGTATACCATTAATATTGCAAATTATATTTTGTCATCTGATAGTATGTCTATTTAATTTTTTGATTATGTAACGAGCGCTTTGTTTACTCATTTGTTTCTTCGAACTGCTCGAATCCATTTTTGCTTTTGATCAAATCAGTGTGAGAAATTCTGAAGCTATAAAATGTTACAGTTGAGGACTGGAACCTTTGGTGTTACACAGCAAAATAAAAACACTAAATCACCACAATACACCGAAACACTTTTACTTTTACACTGGAGGCGCGTTTCGCTAACCATGTTAGCATCATCAGCAGATGATTATAAACTAAAGTACAATCTACAAGTTGAGCGTTTATATACTCGCCCAGTGGGCACCGAGTGGGCGTGGCAAAATCTAACCAACCGAGTCAGAGCCCACTGAGCGTAACAGTTAGATTTCCGCCACTAGAGTAGTAGGAACAAAAAACTTGAAGGAATTGGACCGTTGTCTCTGTTCATACTATCTTTACATTTATTAATTCTGATGCTTTCATATGCATCTAATTGCCTGTAATTTGAGACTTGTTTAATTAATTTTAAATTATTAAGATCTATACAATGTTCTTTATCAACAATATGTTCGGCAACGCAAGATTTATCCGGTCTACCATATCTTATCTGAGCTAAATGTTCTTTAAATCTAGTTAATATTGATCTTCTAGTTTGCCCAACATATTTCCGATTACAATCTTTACAAGAAATTTCATAAATACCCGACCTTTCCAGTGGAGATGTTTTATCCTTTGGATTACCTAATAATTGTTGTAATTTATTATTAGCACTATACACAAGTTTATAATTGACATTCTTAAAAATTCCTTTTAGACCACGGGATAACTCTCTATCAAACGGTATCGAAAAATATTTAGACGTATCTTTCTCCACTTGAAAAGTCGAATTTTCAGAAATCATTACTCATACCTAATCATAATCATACCTACGTTTTCTAATTAATTTATCAACTAGTGAAGGAGAATATCCATTACACTCAGCTACATTCCTAAGTGTTCCACATACTTTAGGCTACTTGAAGGAATTACTGAACGCAAATGGTCTCGACAACAAAACTGTGACTGAATATATTGAGCTTACATCGTTATGTATGAAACAAAATTGTTTTCAATTTAATAACAACTTTTTTGAACAGCGGGAATGTACAGGAATGGGTAATCCATTGTCTCCATTTTTGGCTAATTTATTCATGAGCAGGTTTGAAGTGGAGGCTAAGAATCAGTTTGAGTATTTTCCAAGAGTATGGTTTAGGTATGTGGATGATATTTTTGCTGTTTTTGACACACATTCAGACACCATAGATACTTTTATTTCTAAGTTAAATAATCGTTTTCCTTCCATTAAATTTACGCATGAAATTGAGAACAACAGATTACCATTTCTAGATTTATTAGTTATTAGAAATGCTAATAATTGCCTGGAATTTGATATCTATAGGAAAAATACGACCACACGCAGATATATTCCTAATGAATCACATCATAGTGTTGAACATAAAATGGCTAGTTTAAATTTCTTAGTTCATAGATTACTTAGTTTCCCACTTTCCAACGAAAGATATGAAATAGAAAGAGATTACATTAGGAATGTAGCTGAGTGTAATGGATATTCTCCTTCACTAGTTGATAAATTAATTAGAAAACGTAGGTATAGGTTAATGATTTCTGAAAATTTGACTTTTCAAGTGGAGAAAGATACGTCTAAATATTTTCGATACCGTTTGATAGAGAGTTATCCGTGGTCTAAAAGGAATTTTAAGAATGTCAATTATAAACTTGTGTATAGTGCTAATAATAAATAACAACAATTATTAGGTAATCCAAAGGATAAAACACCTCCACTGGAAAGGTCGGGTATTTATGAAATTTCTTGTAAAGATTGTAATCAGAAATATGTTGGGCAAACTAGAAGATCAATATTAACTAGATTTAAAGAACATTTAGCTCAGATAAGATATGGTAGACCGGATAAATCTTGCGTTGCCGAACATATTGTTGATAAAGAACATTGTATAGATCTTAATAATTTAAAATTAATTAAACAAGTCTCAAATTACAGGCAATTAGATGCATATGAAAGCATCAGAATTAATAAATGTAAAGATAGTATGAACAGAGACAACGATCCAATTCCTTCAAGTTATTTGTTCCTACTACTCTAGTGGCGGAAATCTAACTGTTACGCTCAGTGGGCTCTGACTCGGTTGTCTAGATTTTGCCACGCCCACTCGGTGCCCACTGGGCGAGTATATAAACGCTCAACTTGTAGATTGTACTTTAGTTTATAATCATCTGCTGATGATGATAACATGGTTAGCGAAACGTATGTACACCGAAAATATCTGATTTCTACTGTATACAGCGCCGTGGTCGGAATTTTTTGAAATCAACTGAAATGCACCAAGCCCAAGAACTGTAAACTAATAGGATTGCTCATCCTCATAAGACGTACGTTCGCCTCTTCCCGCGCTTCAGCTGACAGTTGTGACATCATTGTAGTCCTTGTCATGATAGTGTGTATTATTAGTTGCCTGGTAAACTTATAAAAATAACAGCTGAGAAATTTTGAGTTAATTATTTTGTCAATTTTAAATGTGAAAAAGGTGTCTTTAAAGTTTTTAGAGCTATAGAGTGTATAAATACGTCCATTTTCTGTTGTGTATTGTGACAAAGTACTTACTAAGTGCCTACGATATTGTTTATTAATTATTTTAAAGCAAAATATGGAAGTACTCTAAAAAGAATGCTTGCAAAAGGTGATGCTGGGAACTGCTGTTCTTAAAAATGCATTATCCGAGTATTTAATACGATTTATACAGTTAATTTTCTATACTGCATACATATAAGGTGTTTAAATAAATAAACTAAATAATGAACGTTTTGCATTCGGCAACCAATAATGCACGTGTGTGTATTATTGGTTGCCGGATAAGGACTAATAACCATGACAAGGACTATAATGACGTCACAAAGCGAGTAGTTTTCGCATGCACCTGGCGGACACTTTTGGCTGAATGAGCAGTCCTATTAGGTTAACTGTTCTTGCACCAAGCCTATATGATAGGATTTAACAACTTATTGTCCTGCAGATTTTATACATTCTGTAGGGACCAGTTAGACCTACTATAATATTGTAAAATCCTAAAATTGAGGCTTATGAAGTTTTTCCCCTGGACCCTTCAAATAGACAATCAAGTTTTATACTAATTAAAATAATGTTTGGTGATATTTTTACTAATCTTAGTTGCATTTTATTTTTAGGAGGCCTGTTAAATAAGACCTGAAGATCAATAGTATATATTTATTAATGGTTGTTTGTTGTGTTATTTTTTTATTATTGTTATACTATTTTTTATATATGCTCATATATATTTATACAGTAATGTTAACACGATTTTTAAGTATTTTTATACATATATTATAATTTTATATCAGAGTAAATACTATTTCATTAACTATATTTGTATTATAAATTTATAATAAAATATACAATTATATATTCCGTGATAATATGTAATCTACTGCTTCCACAAAGCTAGGAAATACGGCTGATGGGCTTGGATTAATCCTGTTTTCATCTCCTGCCTTGTATTTTCCAGTTTTCACTAAAAATCCTTGTAGTCCTGCATCCATTGCTCCTTTTACATCATCAGTTACATCCTAGATAATTTGTTTAAAACATAGTTATTAAAGTTAACAACTACCGCCATGCAAATGATGGTTTTAAAGTATTATAAAGCAATATATGGACAACTATACAGGATGGCGCACCTCATTCGCCTCGGTTGATTATACGAAAACGAAAGGATGTAGAAACAAAATATTTTATGGGTATATGTAGAGAGGCAATGTGCATAGTTTAAAATTATTTTCAAATGTACAGGGTGTGTCAGAAATAATATCCATACCAAAGTTATATTTTTTCTTATGGAACACCCTGTATTTTATTTCATTTTTGGATTCTTGGCCATAAAATAAGGCATTTATTATAAGGGTTTAATATGTTTAAATGCTTTGGTTTTTGAGATATTTAAAGATATTTAAATATGCATGCGTTAAAAAAAAAGTTCGTCAACACCCTGTACATTACTTTTCAGAGTTAATTCTTGTGCTGACTTTGAAGCCAGAGAAGTATATTGTTTTAAACTAGAATATTATTTTGTACCTAAAAAAAGTATGCCAAAAGAGTATCTCAAGTATTCGACTGTAATTATCCCGTATACAGAATCTCGCATACAGTATCCTCGTCTGAAAGAGCTCTTAGACCTCTTTCAGACGAGGATGCTGTATCCCAGACGCGCGTATCTGAGATACAGAAAAAGAATGTAATTAAATTGTACCTTACACATGGCATTCGGCGACGCATACAGTATCGCGCGGCCGAATTTTTGAATGTGGAATTTTCAGCCGCCCGGCGACGAAGGAGTATCCGGGATACAGAATTATCATAGTAGCTATGTACCTATTCAGACTTGCATACTTTTGCGATACAAAAAGTTCGATTTCATAGGCGAACAGAATATTTATTGTAGGTTTATTACAGTAAAATAATAATTCAGTAGTGAGAGTGAGTTCGAACAATAAATACTAGAACCATGGATCGTGCCGCTTTCGATAATGAAAAATTTATAAGCTTTGTATTATTATATATATGCCACAGCAGAACGCACTCTTCAATATTCATTTTATAATAGAATAATACAACTGCACCGCACTGAAATTTGTTTTAAACTAGAATATTATTTTGTACCTAAAAAAAGTATGCCAAAAGAGTATCCCGAAAGTATTCGACTGTAATTCTTTATCCCGTATACAGAATCGCATACAGTATCCCTCGTCTGAAAGAGCTCTTAGACCTCTTTCAGACGAGGATGCTGTATCCCAGACGCCCGTATCTCAGATACAGAAAAAAGCATGTAGTTAAATTGTACCTTACACATGGCATTCGGCGACGCATACAGTATCGCGCGGCCGAATTTTGAATAATGTGGAATTTTCAGCCGCCCGGCGACGAAGGAGTATCCGAGATACAGAATTATCATAGTAGCTATGGACCTATTCAGACTTGCATACTTTTGCGATACAAAAAGTTCGATTTCATAGGCGAACAGAATATTTGTTGGAGGTTTATTATAGTAAAATAATAATTCAGTAGTGAGAGTGAGTTCGAACAATAAATACTAGAACCATGGATCGTGCCGCTTTCGATAATGAAAAATTTATAAGCTTTGTATTATTATATATATATGCCACAGCAGAACGCACTCTTCAATATTCATTTTATAATACAATAATACAACTGCATAGCACTGAAATTTGTTTTAAACTAGAATATTATTTTGTACCTAAAAAAAGTATGCCAAAAGAGTATCCCGAAAGTATTCGACTGTAATTCTTTATCCCGTATACAGAATCTTGCATACAGTATCCTCGTCTGAAAGAGCTCTTAGACCTCTTTCAGACGAGGACGCTGTATCCCAGACGCGCGTATCTCAGATACAGAAAAAGCATGTAGTTAATTTGTACCTTACACATGGCATTCGGCGACGCATACAGTATCGCGCGGCCGAATTTTTGAATGTGGAATTTTCAGCCGCCCGGCGACGAAGGAGTATCCGAGATACAGAATTATCATAGTAGCTATGGACCTATTCAGACTTGCATACTTTTGCGATACAAAAAGTTCGATTTCATAGGCGAACAGAATATTTGTTGGAGGTTTATTATAGTAAAATAATAATTCAGTAGTGAGAGTGAGTTCGAACAATAAATACTAGAACCATGGATCGTGCCGCTTTCGATAATGAAAAATTTATAAGCTTTGTATTATTATATATATGCCACAGCAGAACGCACTCTTCAATATTCATTTTATAATACAATAATACAACTGCACCGCACTGAAATTTGTTTTAAACTAGAATATTATTTTGTACCTAAAAAAAAGTATGCCAAAAGAGTATCTCGAAAGTATTCGACTGTAATTCTTTATCCCGTATACAGAATCTCGCATACAGTATCTTCGTCTGAAAGAGCTCTTAGACCTCTTTCAGACGAGGATGCTGTATCCCAGACGCGCGTATCTCAGATACAGAAAAAGCATGTAGTTAAATTGTACCTTACACATGGCATTCGGCGACGCATACAGTATCGCGCGGCCGAATTTTTGAATGTGGAATTTTCAGCCGCCCGGCGACGAAGGAGTATCCGGGATACAGAATTATCATAGTAGCTTATGGACCTATTCAGACTTGCATACTTTTGCGATACAAAAAGTTCGATTTCATAGGCGAACAGAATATTTATTGTAGGTTTATTATAGTAAAATAATAATTTAGTAGTGAGAGTGAGTTCGAACAATAAATACTAGAACCATGGATCGTGCCGCTTTCGATAATGAAAAATTTATAAGCTTTGTATTATTATATATATGCCACAGCAGAACGCACTCTTCAATATTCATTTTATAATAGAATAATACAACTGCACCGCACTGAAATTTGTTTTAAACTAGAATATTATTTTGTACCTAAAAAAAGTATGCCAAAAGAGTATCTCGAAAGTATTCGACTGTAATTCTGTATCCCGTATACAGAATCTCGCATACAGTATCCTCGTCTGAAAGAGCTCTTAGACCTCTTTCAGACGAGGACGCTGTATCCCAGACGCGCGTATCTCAGATACAGAAAAAGCATGTAGTTAAATTGTACCTTACACATGGCATTCGGCGACGCATACAGTATCGCGCGGTCGAATTTTTGAATGTGGAATTTTCAGCCGCCCGGCGACGAAGGAGTATCCCAGATACAGAGTTATCATAGTAGCTTATGGACCTATTCAGACTTGCATACTTTTGCGATACAAAAAGTTCGATTTCATAGGCGAACAGAATATTTATTGGAGGTTTATTATAGTAAAATAATAATTCAGTAGTGAGAGTGAGTTCGAACAATAAATATTAGAACCATGGATCGTGCCGCTTTCGATAATGAGAAATTTATAAGCTTTGTATTATTATATATATGCCACAGCAGAACGCACTCTTCAATATTCATTTTATAATAGAATAATACAACTGCACCGCACTGAAATTTGTTTTAAACTAGAATATTATTTTGTACCTAAAAAAAGTATGCCAAAAGAGTATCCCGAAAGTATTCGACTGTAATTCTTTATCCCGTATACAGAATCTCGCATACAGTATCCCCGTCTGAAAGAGCTCTTAGACCTCTTTCAGACGAGGATGCTGTATCACAGACGCGCGTATCTCAGATACAGAAAAAGCATGTAGTTAAATTGTACCTTACACATGGCATTCGGCGACGCATACAGTATCGCGCGGCCGAATTTTTGAATGTGGAATTTTCAGCCGCCCGGCGACGAAGGAGTATCCGAGATACAGAATTATCATAGCTTATGGACCTATTCAGACTTGCATACTTTTGCGATACAAAAAGTTCGATTTCATAGGCGAACAGAATATTTATTGTAGGTTTATTATAGTAAAATAATAATTCAGTAGTGAGAGTGAGTTTGAACAATAAATACTAGAACCATGGATCGTGCCGCTTTCGATAATGAAAAATTTATAACCTTTGTATTATTATATACAGGGTTGTTCACCACATACGACACGGAGTATTGTAGCTAAACGATGAGATTTTTACAAATTGTAAGTTTTGGGTTCGATGAAGGACTATTAGAGGTACAATTTAAAAATAATTTTACAAGATACAGAGTGTCCCAAATAAGTAAAAAATATAAAAGTTGTATTTTTTTAAATGGAACACCCTGTATATTATTACATTTTTAGTTTCTACGATTAAAATAAAGGTAAATTTGATTAAGATTTATTATACTTAAACCTTACCGTTTTTGAAATATTTTCAATTTTGTGAAATTGCAGTAAAAAATTTAAGGCTTCATTCTCCAAGGGCATCAAAGTTTTTAATACTAAATATTTACTGAAGTTTATTTATTGATCAGTTATTTTGTTGCAATAATAAAAATTATACTACCTTATACAGAGTGCCTAAAAATTTATTTTAAATAATTATTAGCTTCAAATGGCAATAACTTGTTTCATTTAAACGGAACACCTTGTATATTTTACGAGAATCAGATGCACAATTTAATTGTCTATCAAATTATATTATACCATTTTTTACCTATCTTTTTAAGTTTCCATAGAAAATGCATTTTCTTGTAATTTAGAACTTATTTATCAATATACCCATGGAATATTGACATTTTAGATTATTTTTAAAGATGTACCAAATTTTTAAAGAGTACAGATACTAATATTGTCGATACAATTTGTTTATTTTATTAAAAAATAAAAAAAAACTGTTTAAATATTTGTTAAAGGGGACCAATTAATATGATTCCAGTATTCAAACTACATTAACTGACTGTTTGCGTTGATTAATAATAATTGCTCCAAATACTAAAAAACTGAATTTTGTATGGGTATTAGACAGTGTGATAAAAAGAAACACCTTAAAAATTATATTTCATTTTTTAATAAATACTTATTTATAACAACAGAGAAGAAGTTTTGCTAAAAACGATAATATTACTAGCCTGTACATTTTGTACATTTGTTGCTTTAAAAACAATCTAAAATGTCAATATTCCATGGGTATATTGATAAATAGGGTCTAAATTATAAGAAAATGCATTTTCTACGAAAACTTGAAGGGATAGGTAAAAAATGGTATAATACAATTTGATAGACAATTAAATTGTGCATCTGATTCTCCTAAAATACACAGGGCGTCCCATTTAAATTAAAGAAGTTATTGGCGTTTAAAACTAGAAATTATTTAAAATAAATTTTTAGACACTCTGTATAAGGTAGTATTATTTTTATTATTGCAACACAATAACTGATCAATAAATAAACTTCAGTAAATATTTAGTATTAAAAACTTTGATACCCTTGGAGAAATGAAGCCTTAAAATTTTTACTGCAATTTCCCAAAATTGAAAATATTTCAAAAACGGTAAGGTTTAAGTATAATAAACCTTAATCAAATTTACCTTTATTTTAATCGTAGAAACTAAAAATTTAATAATACACAGGGTGTTCCATTTAAAAAAATACAACTTTGATATTTTTTACTTATTTGGGACACTCTGTATCTTGTCAAATTATTTTTAAATTGTACCTCTAATAGTCCTTCATCGAACCCAAAACTTGAAATTTGTAAAAATATAATCGTTTAGCTACAATACTCCGTGTTGTATGTGGTGAACAACCCTGTATATGCCACAGCAGAACGCACTCTTCAATATTCATTTTATACTAGAATAATACAACTGCACCGCACTGAAATTTGTTTTAAACTAGAATATTATTTTGTACCTAAAAAAAAGTATGCCAAAAGAGTATCTCGAAAGTATTCGACTGTAATTCTGTATCCCGTATACAGAATCTCGCATACAGTATCCTCGTCTGAAAGAGCTCTTATAGTCGGAAGGATTTTGTGGTAAGGCCAACTAAATTTACCTTTATCATGTTTTCATGAAATGATCATAATGAAAGGTCAAGATAATATTTAGTTGAAAAGTGTGCTTACATCTCCTATCATAACCGCCTGCTCTGCAGGAATATTTCCTAGAGCAGCTTGAAAGAACAATTTATTAGGTTTTCCAACCAACGTTGCAGTACATTGAGCAGAGTATTCTAATCCTTTAACAAAACATCCTGGGCCTAAACTTAAACCGTCACTAGTTTTATAATACTTTCCTGCGTGGATGGCTATTAACTGAGCACCATTTTGTAAATGTCTAAAACATTAATACATTAAAATTGTTCAATATGAGAGTGACACTTGTCTGTCATTTTAATTCGAAGGAAAAACTGTGTTTACTGTCATTTTATGGGTGTCGTTTGTCGAAATCTACCCTGACTCGTTGAACTGACTAATATATTATATTGAAATACATAGAGTGTGTCCAAATATTACGCGGACATCGGAACTACTACGTGATTTTGGCATCAAAATAAGTTCTGGACAACACAACTCCTACACAAAAAAGTGCTTCATTTATCCGTTAGAGGACATGAACCTTTACGCTAAAAAACCCTCGCTGTTGACGCGCTCTATAAATCAATTAGCCCGAGAGCTGGCGACATATTTAGAGAACATATTTTAGGCAAGTTAGAATAACAAAAAAATAAACTAATAACTTGTGAACCCAGAAGCCTAAGTCTGGCTGGGGGGTTGGGGGTATTTCGCTACTGCGCAACCCGTAACATTTGCAAAAAAATAAATCCAAAAAACATTCTTTAGGCAACTTGAAATTTGTTTATTCTTAAATTTTAGCATCTATTTAACCTAGAAATAAGTATTCCAGACTTTTTTCGGGTTTAAAGTGTAACCCGACCATTCCAAATATGTTTAATTAATCTACTCGTAGTAGTTCAATGCCCACAGAATAGTGGCGCACCTTGTATACAGGGTATAAAACAGTAATATAAAAGATAAGAGCGAAAAAAATTAGGACGTGATAGCTTTTTGAAAAATAGAATTTCCCTACAAAGTTATTTGACAGGATAACCCATACCCAACATCCCAACAGTCACAATTTGCAATTTTAATATCATTAAAAATAATACAGGGTGGCGCACCTCATTCGCCTCGGTTGATTATACGAAAACGGAAAGATCTAGAAACAAACAATTTTATGGGTATATGTGGGGAGGGAATGTACAGGGTGGGTCAAATTCGACGCTTTTAAATGGAAACATCCTTTTCTATACGAGATAGCCGAAAACTAATATCGGTGTCTGGAGCTCAATTTTCATCAAAAACATGATGGTGAAAACCGCACATCAATATCTGTTACCGTTTCGGAGTTACGGGGTGTTTTTCAATATTTGTGCATTTTTAACAAATCGCTGTAACTTTTTTGCTATGGAAAATTTTGTATTTCTATGAAAACATTTCCAAAGCACCTTTTTGCGTAGAATTTAATGGTTTAAGTAATATTTTTTTTAATTAATAAGAATTATTAACAGAAAAAATTATTTTTTATTTGGGACACCCTCTATATTTTTAATTAACTGAAAATAATTTAAAATTACCTTTCCAAAAATATAGCACACTTGATATTTTGTTATAATCCCCTTCGAAATACAGAATTTTTAAAAGTTCGCCACTTTTAACTAGTAGGCTTTGGACCACTTATTGATGATATGCCCGCCCTTAATGGAACTCGAAAACATATTTTTCCAGCAAGACGCACCGCCTCAGAACGCTGAAGTTATCAGCAAATTTTTGCAGCCAATTTCAAGAATAGTTGAATAACTAACCAAGATCCCAGCCGTTGGCCGCCGAGGCCGCCTGACTTAGTGCCCATGGATCTAATCCTATGGATATATTTGAGGAATAATAAAGGTTCCTTATTCTTCCGTATAATCTAGACAAGAATTAGAAATACTTAGCAGTTATGAGAGGGTTTCTTTCACCCCCACTGAGTTAATGAATTCCGCGAGAAATGTTCAAAAACTGCCCCGTCTGTCCATAACAGAAGACGGTTGATATGTTGAACACCTGTAGCAAAATCTCATGTCTTGGTTTGCTATTTATTTTTATTGTTATTAGATATAGTTTAAATGTGTTGATGTTGGGTAAATATATTTTAAATTGTTATAAAATTCTGCATTTCTCATAGCAAATATTTTTATTTTCGTTTTAATTGATGCTCACAGCTAGAATTTTTTTGCATTCCAGCCTACTTATTTAAAGCGAATTTTTATATACTCTATATCTCGAAGAGGAATCGAGCAAAATACCAAGTGTGTTATATTTTTGGAAAGGTAATTTTAAATTCTTTTCAATAAATTAAAAATATACAGGGTGTCCCATATAAAAAATCAAATTTTCTCTTGATAATTGTTAAATTATTAATTTTAAAAAAATTATACTGAAACCATTAAATTCTACGTAAAAAGGTGGTTTGGAAATGCTTTCATAAAAATACAACATTTTCCATAACAAAAAAGTTACAGCGATTTGTTAAAAATGCATATTTTTGAAAAAGACCCCGTAACTCCGAAACGGTAACAGATATCGATATGCGGTTTTCACCATCATAGTTTTGATGAAAATTAAGCTCCAGACACCGATATTAGTTTTCGTCTATCTCCTATAGAAAAGGGTGTTTCCATTTAAAAGCGTCGAATTTGAGACCCACCCTGTACAGGGTGTTAATAATCTATTCTATTGTAGCCTGCATTTTTAAATATCTTTAAGTAACTCAAAAACCAAAGATTTTAAACATATTTAACCCTTATAATAAATACCTTTTTTTGAGCCCAAGAATCCAAAAATGAAATAAAATACCGGGTGTTCCATAAGAAAAAATATAACTTCGGTATGTGTCTTAGTTCTGAAACACACTGTACATTTCAAAATAATTTTAAATTGTGCACATTTCCATCCCAATATACTCATAAAATATTTTGTTTCTACATCTTTCCGTTTTCGTATAATCAACCGTGGCGAATGAGGTGCGCCAAATTTAATCCAAAGTAAATAATAACCGTATTACCTAAAAGCTTCATTCAATTTATTATAGTTGAATTCCGTTGGTGCAAGTCCAATTACAACAGCATTTGGCATCTCGTTTGGTGGACACGCCAAACCATTAAAATCTTCTAAAGCTTCAGGTGCTATCTTAAATGAATAAATATATGTTTATTAAATTGGCTTAATAAAAGCATATAAATAAAATACCATGAGCATTGGCTTAAGTTTTCTTTCCACTAATAAATTTCGACAGGCTCCTAATGAACTTAGAATGTCATCTTTATTTACTAAGAATCCTAAAGAAGTAAGCCTATTGTGTAAAATTCTTTTACTTTCCTTAGTGGTATTGGTAACAAATTTTATTGTTAAATTATGGTCTACTAATCTACAATGAGAACAAATTCTAGACTTTTTGTAGGTGATTTCATCAGATTGCCATCTTATAATATTTGATTGAAAGTCAGAATATTATCAATTTTAATTTATCAAAAGCAAACCTATACCGCATGATAAAAAAAATGGCATCAAGTTGTCTTTAAAATACGAAATTACGACTGATTGCGTTCGCCCAATAATTTTATATACAGGGTGGCCCATCGAAAACGTTCTGCAAGGCATAACAGTCGGAGAAATTTTTTTTTCAGAAAATTCAAAAACAAGTCGATTTTGTTTGCGAGGGGGACAACTTTTGTCCCAAAAATAATTGTAAAATCTTCAACCCTCTAAGCGGGGGTGTCATCCCCCAGTTTTTTTCAAATGGGAAGGGGGGTCAAGTGGTACTGCAATGAAAAGGACTTTCTATTCTCTATACTTTCCCGCTTCGTTTTTGAAAATCGGTCGAGTGATTGAGAAAATATGAAGGATTGAAATTTGAAAAGCTTATTTAAACATTTATCAGAGTAAATGATAAGGATAAATTCCTTCGACCAATTTGCTGTTTTTTCTTATTATTTGTAGACGTTTACGCATTTTTTCACTTGCCACAAGGCTGGACGATCAGGTGCGGTAGTTGCTAGATAGCTGTTCTGTGACTTGTGCGTTGAAGTTCTTCTCAATATTGTTAAACTTTTTAACAATTATGATGTACTCACATGCAGAAAAAGTGGAAATAAGTTCCACCCGTACAAAATTCAGTTGGTACAAGAACTCAACGAAGACGATTTTGACCGTCGCTTGCAATTTTGCGAAACTATGAGTGAACGAGTGGCGAATGATAATAATTTCCTATTTAATGTGTTTTTTTCGGATGAGTGTACTTTCTTTTTGAACGGTGTAGTTAATCGGCACAACTGTCGGTACTGGGCTGAGGACAACCCCAAGGTTTTTCACGAGGTGCACACACAAAACCCTCAGAAATTGAACGTGTGGGCTGGTATTTTTGGAAATTCTATTGTGGGTCCTTTTTTTTCTTGCTAGAAATCTAACAGGTGATATGTACTTGGATTTACTGGAAAATACCATCGACCCAGCCCTAACTGACATCATAGAGAACAATCCTGGATACGTTGAAGCGGAACTAATATTTCAACAAGACGGTGTGTATTTTGACCCAAATAACTCATTTTGAGTGAAATTAAAAAAAAAATTTTCCCGATCTTAATAGCCTACCATACCTATTGGTATGGTCGGCTAAAAAATTATAGGGGTGAGCCATTTTTGAGACGCACCCGGTATACAATAAATTAATATTAATTAAATAAATTAAAAAGTCTTCCTTTAGATTTTTGTCGTTTCATATTAGATAGATAGATAAAAGACCAACGCTAGTTACGTAGGTTATATTCTGGTTATATTGTGATTATATATGTTATATCCTTGTTTATTTATATTAAACCACGTGACGTCACAACGGCATGTGAAATGTGCATGTGAATCTGACAGACATAAAATACTCTACGGGACTCAGTTTGCATCTTTTCGAGAAGTTATAAGATAACCAAGGTACCAAAAGAGTCGAAAAATGCAACATTTTCAAATACCCCATAAAACACACGAAAATGGGACACCCTGTACACCATGTTTACACTTTCGAAATGCGTTAATTTCACATGAATTCAGGTCAAATGATCATTTCAAATGTTACGTATAAACCTAAGGTATAAACGCGGTTTTTGTGTTGTTATCAGCACTTATCAGTATCAATCAGTATCATGTAAATCATGTATCTAACCATAACTTGCCATAGCGTTACTAGGGACAGCTTACAACACAGGCATTAAAAACTAAAGTAATTATGTTAAACACATCAGTCAAATATAAGATGGCAAACTGCAATAGTTATTTATACTTTTTTAACGCCTCGGCAGCTCCAGCAATTGCTTGATTGTCTATATGTAAAGTTCCGCTCAAATCAATCAAAACCATACGAATCATTCTACCCTGATCCTAATCAAGTTCAACAATAAAATATATATGTTCTGTTCTGTTCTGTTCTGTCAATGTAAAGGAAGTTACAGTTACAGTTATTTGTGGTTTTGGCTACAGTTTATAAATTTCAGGTTACAAGTTACCAAATACGAATTGCGAATACCCAGAGAATAGGTACATATATTAATATTTAATAATCGGTCTGAGCGAATACCAATAACACCAATACCACCAATACGATTTAGAAAGTACAAGACAACCACAGAATACAACAAATCATTAAGCTTAAGCATTTGATATTTTTAAATGCATTAATTTAATCTTAGATTTAGAAGGATTATCATGATTTAACCCACAGATTTAAACACGACATATAAAAATAAAACAATTTCAATTTTATATACCGTGATTTAACATTTAACCTTCAAGACCTTGAAGGGCCAAAGGAAGGGCTTCAAGCAGGGTTGCCAGATAAAATTTAACGCGTGTCGCAGAACTCACAGTTTGAGATAGCCCAATGTCGCAGATTTTGCCAAACCTTCAAAATAGCCCAAAATCGCAGATCAAAAATATATGACGTCTCTTTTATCGTTTTTCTTTCTTTGTGACTTTATTAAAAGGCAGCTGTTAAGATAGCCCAAAGTCGCAGATTTTGCCAAAAAAGCAGTAAAAACCTGTTTTTTGAAAAGTGGGGTAAAGAAAACAGAAGAACTAAAGAGAAATAATTGTTGGTTAATATAATATTATGAATGGATGCCGTAAAAAAACTAAAGAAGAGCTTCATTGAAATGGTTTGTTTACAAATTCGATTTAATTTTTTTGCTAATCGTTAAAATTTATTTATTTTAAAGTGACTTTAAAAAAGCAATGGATGAAATATGTAGAATTTGTGTAAATAATGTAGACAAAACAAACGCAGTCAATATTTTCTATGAAATTCAAGGGAGAAAGAAAAGTGTGTCTGATATCATAACTGAATGCACATCAATACAAGTAAACTGGCGATTATATTTCAATAAATAAAATTATTAATTACATATTTTGTAGATACTTGATAGTGATATGCTCCCAAAAAATATTTGTTTTAATTGTTGCGAGCAACTTATAGTACTGAGCGATTTCCGACAATTAATAGTCAAATCTGATATACAGTTGAAAGAATATGTTTTACTAGACAGCAAAATTAACGGTACCACCGAAACTAATTTCGAAGGTGCCGATATTAACCCTTTAACTATCGAAATCTGTAGTAGTGCAAATGACGATATAGAAAATAATTTAGAAATCAAAACAGAATGTTTAGATATATCAGAGGATATATTAGATGACAGAATTGATGAAACAAATTGTAGTCAATCAGATGAACAATTTAAAGATAGTGGTGAGACCAATGAAAAAGACTCTAAAAACTCTTTAAAAGTTGATAGTTCTAAGGGTAAACGCAAACGTAAGAAAAATAAGGTATTTTATGTTAATTCAAGTTTGTTTTGAGTGTTTAAACGGTTTAAACCATGTTTAAACTATCTTTTATGTTTTAGGTACATGAATTTACATGTTCAATTTGTGAGAAGGTGGTTCGTGGAGGAGTAAATCGCCTAAAAGAACACATGTTTATTGTTCATACTGATATTAAGCCACATTCTTGCAAGACCTGCAATAAACGATTTAAAACTAAACCACTATTAAGATACCATACTATGGTTCACACTGGGGAAAAACCATACCAATGTGAATTTTGTTTGGAGAGATTTCCGTAAGTTTAATTATTCTACAGGGTCCCAAAATAGTGTGTTGAGCACCTGTAGCTCCTATAATTAAAAATTTAGGATTTTTTTTTTAAGTTGATTGGGATGACTTTTTAAATGGAACCCCATGTATATTATGTTTTTCTCTGTTAATCTTATGGAAGTTAAAATATTTTCCTGAAATACGTCCTAGTTGTATCTGAAACATTTACTTTAAGTTTGGATTTAAACAAAATTCCCTAGTTTTTTATTATAAGAGCTGTACCTTGTACAGGGTGAGTCAACGCTAGAGTAAAATCCATTATCTCATTTGTTTCGAGGTTCACAGAAAAATGTTACAGTTGAGGGTTGGAACCTTTGGTGTTACACAGCAAAGTAAAAACACTAAATCACCACAATACACCAAAACACTTTTACTTTTACACTGGACGCGCGTTTCGCTAACCATGTTAGCATCATCAGCAGATGATTATAAACTAAAGTACAATCTACAATCTTAATTACAACAATTATTAGGCAATCCAAAGGATAAAACACCTCTACTGGAAAGGTCGGGTATTTATGAAATTTCTTGTAAAGGTTGTAATCAGAAATATGTTGGGCAAACTAGAAGATCAATATTAACTAGATGTAACGAACATTTAGCTCAGATAAGATAGGGTAGACCGGATAAATCTTGCGTTTGCCGAACATATTGTTGATAAAGAACATTGTATAGATCTTAATAATTTAAAATTAATTAAACAAGTCTCAAATTACAGGCAATTAGATGCATATGAAAGCATCAGAATTAATAAATGTAAAGATAGTATGAACAAAGACAACAGTCCAATTCCTTCAAGTTCTTTGTTCCTACCACTCTAGTGGCGGAAATCTAACTGTTACGCTCAGTGGGCTCTGACTCGGTTGGCTAGATTTTGCCACGCCCACTAGGTGCCCACTGAGCGAGTATATAAACGCTCAACTTGTAGATTGTACTTTAGTTTATAATCATCTGCTGATGATGCTAACATGGTTAGCGAAACGCGCGTCCAGTGTAAAAGTAAAAGTGTTTTGGTGTATTGTGGTGATTTAGTGTTTTTATTTTGCAGAAAAATGTTAAATATAAAAGTTATAGGGACAGTTAAGATACACATTTTAAAATTATTATAGAGTACACAGGGTGCTTCAAAAATTGTGGTGGATATAGCATATGTTTTTTTTTAAATGCAACACTCTACTTTTTATTTTACTTTTTGATTCTAATGAATAGTTTTTGTAATATTTAAATTTGTTTAAACATTGTAAAAATTATCAGTGGTACCATTGTTTCTGAAGTTGGAGTACCAAAATTTGGTAGGAGAATTTTATAGAGATGAAAAAAAAAGATATTTTAGTTAAATGCTCTAGGGTGTTGAAAATATATTTATGAATTTCAACTACTTAAAATTAAAAAATCTCAAATTTTTTAAATGGTACACCCTATATATTATCATTTTTACTGATAGATTTTACAAAATTTTATTACAATATTTATACATTCATTTAATAATTACCCTATAATATATTAAGAAATTGGAATAAATCTCAAACTATTAAAGATAGGTATATGACATACTGAATAAAAGTTGAAGAGTTTTGGAAAATCTATCAGAAAAAATGATAATATATAGGGTGTACCATTTAAAAAATTTTAAATTTATTAATTTTAAGTAATTGAAATTCATAAATATATTTTGAACACCCTGCAGGGCATCTAACTAAAATATCTTTCATACGTCTTTTTCTATATATCTATAAAATTCTTCTACCAAATATTAGTTGTCCACCTTCAGAAACAATGGCATCACTGGTAATTTTTTACCATACTGCAATCTAACATTTGTTTAAACAAATTTAAATATTACAAAAACTATTAATTTTAGCTATATAACATTGCATATAAAAAAGAAAAAAGTTATGGAATTTTACGCAGAATCTAAAAATAAAATAAAAAATAGGGCGTTGCATTTAAAAAAACATATGTTATATTCGCCACACTTTTTTGAAGCGCCCTGTATACTCTATAATAATTTTAAAATTTGTATCTTAACCGTCCCTATAACTTTTGTATTTAACAGTTTTTTGTAAACCTCGAAACAAAAAATGAGATAATAGACTTTACTCTATCGTTGACTCACCCTGTACAGGGTGGCTCGAATTCGACGCTCATCATTGGGATTTCGGAAACCGTAAGAGATACAGGATCGGTTAAATGATAGAGATGAGCAGAAAATCGCAAACTGCGATTTAATCGCAGCGATTGTAAATTCGCAATCGCAACCTGTGATTCCTTTCCATAACAAACTGCGACTTGCGATTGAAACATATATCTGGCGATTTTGGATTTTTAGGCAACCAATATTACACCAGTTGCGATTTGCAATCGCAGTGGGCACGCGAACGAAGAGCTGCGAACGAAAATCACAGCATTGCGATTTTCGTTTGCACCGGCGGTGCATCGACACGGCACTGAGAAGCCAAACGATGAGCTGGGAACGAAAATCGCAATATTGCGATTCTCGTACGCACCGGCTGGCGGCGGCGCGTCATCAACACGGCAGTGGGCAGGCGAACGAGGAGCTGAACGAAAATCGCAGCTCATCCCAACATTGCGATTGCGATTTTCGTTGGCACCGGCGGCGCGGCATCGGGAGTGGGCACGCCAACGAAGAGCAGCGATTGTGATTTTCGTTCGCAGCTCTCAACACATCGGCCTAGACTAGATCGCAAAATCACATTCGCAATCATGGCCCCGTAATTTTTATGAAGCGTTGGAAAATAGGCTTATATATGTTTATATACCGCATAATATATATGTATAATTTTTTAGTTTTAAATTTTGATAATAGTTTTAGATTTATAATATAATTATGGATTTAGAAGGTTAAAAAATTCTTGTTTTCGGTTATGACTAATTATAGTTACAGTTGCTCCCAGGTAATGATTCAGGTAAAATAATTCATTCAAGGACAGTTTTGGATTCAAATTATAAAAAAATTATCTATTTTTATCCTTTATTTACTAGAAGATATAGAGCACGTAAAAGAAACAGCCCTTTCTCTTTATTATATTTTGTTATATGTATATTATATTATTATAAACATTTTTATAACAATCCATAATATAATATAATTTTCTGAACAATTGTGGATCGGCTGCTATGTTAATTTAAATACATCCTTTACAATCAGTTTTCATTTTAGAGAAATTTCAAATATAATAAAATGTGATATTGTCCTTTTATTTATCTAAAAGTTCGAAAGTTTGCACTTGCACTGGACGGGCCGTATCAAAGCCGTCGGCGTCGGCTTCTTTTGAGTTACATATAAAGAAAATGTTTTTAAAAGAAAAAAAAAGATAAAATAAACAGTTTTTTTTCTCGTTATCTGAATTAAGGTTGGCGGCAACCTTTTTTATAATAAATTTTTCGTTAGTATACCTACAGACTGTCTAAAAGCACATTCGAATATTTTAAACATTTTATGTATTTTTTTCCCTGTTAAATTTATTCGGTTTATTCTTATCAAAAATGTTTAAAAAAGGAAACTAAGTTATTTGTGGTTTGGTTTGGTTTGATTTTTTTTTGGTAATTGATGAAAATTTTAAGTGCAATATGTGTGCAGAGCAAAATATAATAAAAAAACACTTTAAAGGCATATGGCATCGAAACACCCAACAGTTTCTTTGTAAGATTTTATTAAAAAAAAAGTATTCCCCTATTTATTCTGTTTTTTCTCAAAAATTTTGGGATTGAGCTTCCCAGTTTACAGCGTATCAATTTAAAAATATCAAAATCGCAATCGCAGGTTACAGTCGCAGCGATTTACAAATCACGATCGCAGTTTCAACTGCGATTGGAAAATCGCAGTTTTGCTCATCTCTATTAAATGATACTCAATAAAATGCCGTATTGCATTTTTATTTTATTTTGTTTTTTGCATAAAATTTTCTGGTGATGGAATTTTCTGTACGAAACGTCGGCAAATGTCAAAGTGACTATATATATATTGTTTTAAGAGCGATGAAAGGATTTAATTAAGTTGAAAAAAAAATCAGGTCCGTATTTAAAAAAATTAAGTTGATGATGGTCGCCAGAAGCCGAAACGTCAGAGTCAATATTTAATCACACAGAGTTATAGAGCAGATAAAGTGGTCATGAAAATGTGTTTTTCATTTTAAGTTGTCTTAACAAACAAAGCTGGGAAACAATAGAAAACAAAATTGAAAATTCGGTTTTTTTCCGAATATATTCGGAGGTATTCGGAATTTTTCAAAATGCAATACGCCATTTTATTGAGCATCAAATTGCGCAACTTTGTCTCCATTTAACCGATCCTGTATATCTCTTACGGTTTCCGAAATCCCAGTGATGAGCGTCGAATTCGAGCTCATCACTGGGAACCTTGTACAGGGTGGGTCAAATTCGACGCTTTTAAATGGAAACACCCTTTCTATAGAAGATAGACGAAAACTAATATCGGTGTCTGGAGCTCAATTTTTATCAAAAACATGATGGTGAAAACCGCACATCAATATCTGTTACCGTTTCGGAGTTACGGGGTGTTTTTCAAAAATGTGCATTTTTAACAAATCGCTGTAACTTTTTTGCTATGGAAAATTTTGTATTTCTATGAAAACATTTCCAAATCACCTTTTTACGTAGAATTTAATGATTTAAGTATAATTTTTTTAAAATTAATAATTCAAGAGTTGTCAACAGAAAAATTGATTTTTTATTTGGGACACCCCTTATATTTTTAATTAACTGAAAAGAATTTAAAATTACCTATCCAAAAATATAGCACACTTGATATTTTGTTATAATCTCCTTCGAAATACAGAATTTTTAAAAGTTCGCCACTTTTAACTAGTAGGTTTTGGACCCCTTATTGATGATTTGCCCTTAATGGAACTCGAAAACATATTTTTCCAGCAAGACGACGCACCGCCTCTGAACGCTGAAGTTATCAGCAAATTTTTGCAGCCAATTTAAAGAATAATCGAATAGCTAAACAAGATCCCAGCCGTTGGCCGTCGAGGCCGCCTGACTTAGTGCCCATGGGTCTAATCCTATGGATATATTTGCGGAAGAATAAAGGTTCCTTATTCTGTATAATTTAGACAACAATTAGAAATACTTTGCAGTTATGAGAGGGTATCTTCCACCCCCACTGAGTTAATGAATTCCGCGAAAAATGTTCAAAAACTGCCCCGTCTGTCCATAACAGAAGACGGTCGATATGTCGAACACCTGTAGCAAAATCTCATGTCTTGGTTTGCTATTTATTTTTATTGTTATTAGATATAGTTTAAATGTGTTGATGTTGGTTAAATATATTTTAAATTGTTATAAAATTCTGCATCTCTCATAACAAATATTATTTTCGTTTTAATTGATGCTCACAACTTGAATTTTTTGCATTATAGCCGGTGCCGTTCAAAGCCTACTTATTTAAAGCGGGCAAATTTTTATATACTCTATATCTCGAAGAGGAATCGAGCAAAATATCAAGTGTGTTATATTTTTGGAAAGGTAATTTTAAATTCTTTTCAATAAACTAAAAATATACAGAGTGTCCCATATAAAAAATCAAATTTTCTGTTGATAATTATTAAATTATTAATTTAAAAAAAATTATACTTTTGAAAACCAAACTCCGAAACGGTAACAGATATTGATGTGCGGTTTTTACCATCATGTTTTTGATGAAAATTGAGCTCCAGACACCGATATTAGTTTTCGTCTATCTCCTATAGAAAAGGGTGTTTCCATTTAAAAGCGTCGAATGTGACCCACCCTGTACATGTAAATTATATTAATCTTAACCGAATATAGTTGCTGAAAAAAATAATACTTCAGAACTCCTCAAACAGTTTTTCAACACAAGAAGAAGAAACATATAGGCAGCGACAAAAAACACAAATGCGATAGTTGTGAAAACAGATATTCTTCTCCCGGTGAACTGGAAATACATAGAAGGAAAGCTCACACCGGCGAAACGCCCTTCCTGTGCGAATTCTGTAGTAAGAGGTTTGTGAGCGGCCCAAGTTTAAGATTTCACATTGCAGTCGTGCACGAAAAGGTAAGAAATCGATTAAAATTATGGTAGGTATTTGCAAAAAAAATAATGAGTTACTTTCAGGATAAAAAATGTCCAGTGTGTAAAGTGATGCTGAGCCGGTACCTCATAAAAGGCCACCTGCAAAAGCACAAGGATCGAGCGGAGGGCAACAGGAGATTCGTTTGCCAAGTGTGCGGGAAGAGGTTTTTTGCGGCTGAAGGTTTAAGGGTCCACGAGCGAATTCATACGGGCGAGAGGCCGCATACTTGCGAGGTAAATACATATGTTATCTAATATACAGGGTGTCATTGAAATGGTGTAAAAAAAATCGGGGGGTGATAGTACTCCTAAAAATAGTAAAAAAAGTTCCTATAAGTATAGGGCGGAAAATGCATATTAAGGGAGTTAGGGGCACTGAAAGGGTGAACTTAAAAAACGGTTGTTTTAAAATTGTAGGCTTAAAGGACGAGATAAAATTTCGAAAAAAAATCCTCTGCCATAAATTTTGACGCTAAATCAAATGGTGATACTGAAAAATTATTTGGAAAAGCGGAAAGGGTACTTTCTGCAAGGGTAGGGGGTTGTTTCGTGAATAACTTTTTTGAGGTTAATTTTTTTGCAATAGGGGTTCGTTTTTTGAAAACTACATACTTTTTTCTACAAAAAAGGTGCTCTTGTTGCACATCGCCCAGAGCGATGGTTTTCGAGAAAATTGAAGGCAAAGGGTTTGCTATGACAGGTTGCTAACTGGTTAATCAACTTAAACTTATGAAAGTTATGGCGGTTCAAAAGTAACCAAGTAGTTATTAAATAATTAATTGGAAAATCAAAATTTCATCATTTTTAAAACATCTTATTTGCTTTAAAAACGAAATAATCTTTTTTGGTTTTAAAAAAATTTGGTTTTCTCAGTGCCGATTAATACTGAAGAGCAACCATGCCCTAGACACTCTGTGGTAATTTTATAGAACTACAAATTTAGTTTCTTCCGCATCGCCAGACGGCGCAAAAGACATTAAAGTACAGGTTTCTAATTTGTATTATGAAGATGACATGACAGTCTCTATGTTAACTACTGTCTATGGTCTAGTTTTTGTCTAGTTGACAAAATGTTAGTGATGCGTCAAGTTATTTTTAAATCATTATTTAAATAATTATTAATTCAGATATTCCCAGATATTCCTGATTTGTCGGAAAGTTCAGTGATTTGTGTTTATAGTTTGTGTTTTATTAGTTTGTGCATTCTTTTGGTGCATTCTGATATTTACAGTCGATCATCATTTTCGTGTTAGATACTAAACTTTTTTATTAAAGTCATTTTGACATTTTAGAAATAATAATTTATAAACCAAATAAAAAAACAGTTTAATCATAAATAAGTAAGTACATAGTTGGTAATATATAACAGTTAATTAGTAATCTATAATATTTTTACTGTATTATAATTTAGTTGTTAAATCAAAAAAATAGGCGCTATGTGATCTATTGTTGGTGTTTAAAATGTATGTATTTATAATTTTAATTTTGTTGTAATTATGTTACACTTCTAATGATCTAATAAAACATAAAATGGCAGTAAAAAAGTCTATATTTATTATTTTATATTTTACAAGGAATAATTTTGCGCTTAAATAACGTTACCGTTTTAATTAGCGTTAATAAGTAACGGAACACTAAAATTATGTTATGCCAAAACTCTCCATTAGTTTCTTCCGGATCACCAGGTGGCTCTAAATGCCGGACCCATTTGTTTTATATCAGTGTCCAATCTATCTCTAGTACGTGACATTAGTCTATGAGAGCAACTACGGCAACGCATTATTGACTGTTCCAATCAAATTCGGACAGCAACAAGGATATTCCACAGGGTACGCAGATCGTGGAGAAGAAGATCGGATGTTTACATTGAAATGAATGGTGGTCACCAGGCGGATGAAACTGCCATTTGAATTTTGGAAACACGGCGGAGTTTCTGCCAGTAGAGGGATAGATGGCGCTGCATAGAAATTTCATCTAAAGTCCCTAGATATTCATCTAGGGACTTTAATTTCATCATGATTTTATCAAGTCATCCACAGAGTATAGTTTAATTAACAATTCGTTTGATTCTCTGTGGAGTAATTGAGTACTTGGGTAGTTGAAAATATAAATATTTATATAAAATGTTGATAATTTAACAGTGATGTGCTTTGTTACCCTATGAATAAACATTGATATGAAGTTGCTTTCGCCACAAACAATTATAATTAAATAATTTAATAAAAATTTAATTTCTAAGTGACCCGGATCAGTTAGATCAGTAAAATAAATTGAAAAATAAACGTCATTCCATATTTGGCAATGTCTGTCAGTTTCTGTGAAGTGGAAGTGAATTGTGATTTGTTTTTATGGGAATATTTTACGGATTTTTGCGAATTTAGAGTATTTTGGACGATAGGATTGTGAAATTTAAAAGCCAAGTACCGTATGATCGAAAAAAAATGGCGTCCAGTTGGCTGGGAAATGAAGATCGCTGTCATTTTAAATGTAAATTTATATGGGAAATGCCATCGATCGTCATTTTCCAGCCAACTGGACGCCGTTTTTTCTCGATCATACGGTAGTTTAATATATAAGATTAATTAATCCCTGTGATAATTTTTATGAAATTTCTCACAATCAAAATTCTTTGCAACAAAATGGCTGTCTCAGAAATTTGGAAGATCATTAATTTTAAAGTTTTATTTAAGTGTATTTATATCGAATCAAGAATTTTTATAACATATTAAAAGCTTAATTTTAAAGGTTGTGCAGTAATTTATGTAAGTGTACGCTTTTAGATAAATATTAAATATACAAATTTGCAAAGACAAACAAGTAATTTTAAAAAGATCATTTATTTATTTAAACGAGTATAATCATTAATCATTAGGTTGAAAATATATTTGTATTTACTTATTTATATATTTTCTATACCCTTGTATTATTTATAAGCCCTATATGTCCTGTTTTATTTGAAAAAAAAATGCTTCGAGTCATCGAGAATAGATTTAATAACAATTTTGTCCCTTGGCTTTGTGTATTATATAATGTGAATTGTAAGATGTTTCTATTTGAATAGGTCATTAAAGTTGAGATTAAAGTTATACCAAATTATATTCACGGTAACTATATGTCTTTTATATAATGAATTATTTATTTATAATTTATAACCTTTTTTATAATTACTTATAACTGATTGTATAAATTCTGATAACTTTTATATATACTTGTATAGTGTTGAATGTGTTATATGTAATTTTATTAACAATGTTATAATAAAATAATCAAGTTACAAATTTTTCGTGTTTTATTCTAATTTCAGGGATAATTTCAACCTAGATTATTAATTTATTTGTATCAAAATACATTATTTTTATTTTGTAAAATGTTTTGTTACAAATAAGTTCATAATCTAGATTGAAATTACCAAATATAAGTAAAAAATTTATGAACTGGCAGTAAAGGTCCATTTAAAAATACGGCGCGAACTTTTAGTTCTGCCAGTAGCCCGCTTGGATCGCGTCTAGAGATCTCTAACAAGAGTCTAATATGATGTAAATGGTTATATTTAAAGCCATATTTCTTCTGTTTTCTTAAATACATTATGTGTTTTCTAAAGCTTTAACTTATTATAACCTCACCTCATACCTTTGACATTTGAAAGTTACATACATATGTTACATAAACTACACTCTCTACATAAACTACATTAACTACATGTAATGTAGATTATGTAGTTTTTAAAATTAACATGTAGTTTTCCGAACCCTGGTGACGAGTACCAAGCGACGAACGCAAGCGATCCTAGAATGAAATAAATTAAAATCCGATTTTAATGTGACCTACTCGATAAAAACCTCGTAAAAAGCCGAGCGAATTTTCTACATACATTGTAGGTAGTAAATTTATACGACGCCGTATATACCGGGTGCGTCACAAAAGTGGCTCATCCCTATAACTTTTTTATTTTTTTAGATAAAAAAATGAGATTTGGTGTGGTAGTAAATGACATAAATTAGGATTGATTGACGTATTCAATTGTTTTCTGTCACTTCCTGTTTCACCGGAAATGACTACAATTTTTGATTTTTAAATGGCACCCTCGGTATTTTTTTAATCTATTCGATAGAAAATGACATTCTAAATAGAATGTCGTATCATATGTCAACTTTTGACATATTCGCTCAAAAACAAATTGTATTTTAAATCTCAATCTTTTGCCAAGGAGCCTTGGAAAAATAGATTTGATCGTCTAATGTTTTTAGTGTCTTGTCCTTGCCGGTTAAAAGATTCCCAAATCGTATTTTTGATCATATCTCATTTTTTTTCAAATGGAACGAGGGTGGCTCGTTAGTATATTTCGAAAAAGATTTTTTTTACGAATAATTTGATACCACACACATGGTACTTCGAGTTAAATTGTCGTTATGAACCGCATGTTACAATTTCAAATAAACCATATGCGAAAATGTCAAAAGTTATTGACATGTGATATGTCATTCGTAATAAAGTAAAAAAATACCGAGGATGCTATTTAAAAATCAAAAGTTCTAGTCATTTCCGGTGAAACCGGAAGTGACCAAAAACAATTGAATATGTCAATCCCAATTTATGTCATATACTAACATACCAAATCTCGTTGTTTTATCTGAAAAAATAAAAAAAGTTATAGGGGTGAACCAATTTTGAGACGCACCCGGTATAATATTCCATTAAAGAAAACTACAATTTTAGTGTAAAAATACATATATTTGATATTATTTTCTGAAAAATATTGGTGTGAAAATGTGAACACTGTTGAGCATGTTCAGAACTATTGTCACCCTGTATATTATTTCATTACGGTGGATCACGTGGATTAGAAATACTTACTCTATTGTGTTTTAGATCTGCGGCAAGTCGTTTAATCAGAAAGCAGGTTTCAATACGCACAAACGAGTGCACAGTGAGGTCAGGGCTTACGCGTGCGAATTATGTCCAAAATTGTACAAGAACAAGCGAGAACTTCAAATGCACTTGAAAAACAAGCATCCAGATAGAAGCAAACCAGATTTAAACATTTAAACAAGAAATAAACTAATTTTTAGCAAATTTACTTTTATTTATATTCACGTTTTATAAACTTCTTTTTTTTTGTTCACCCTGTTCAAATGTATATTACGTATTTACGATAAAATTATTTTTTATACATACTTACCTTTGTTTGCGTTTTGTTGCAAAAATTAGATGCTAGAGATATATATCTACCTACTGTGTAGTTATTCCAAAAATATAAACAAAATTTCGTCAAGTTTTGTGATTAAATTATTTTTACCTCTTTACTGATTTCACATACATATTTTAAATGTATTTTAATAAAAAAAAAACATTAAAGATACATTTTAAATTTTATGATATACAGGGTGTTTTAAAAAACATTTGCCATCTCTCGTGGGGAGATTCCTCAACTAAAAATAAGATTCATTTTTCATATCAACATAGGTCCCATTCTGCTTTGTTTCGTAGCTACAGAGTGTTCAAATCTTAAATAATCTTTCGATTTATTATAATTTTCTTCCAAGTACTTTTATCGATTCTAATGAAACTTTTGGGGTAAAAGTTACTATAAGTGCTACATATTGTAATGCTAAAAAAGTCTCGATATATTCATCAGTGACGTGCATACGAGTTATCATTGGAATATTTAAGAAAAAAGCATGTGCGCCACTGACTTTTTTCTTTTGATATCAAAATTGCGTAGGGCGTTTAATCCCAATTAAAAGTTATCTCTTGTTATTTGGTCCATTATGGCCTCCTATCTCATCAAGGAGGCCAAAATGGACCAAATATCAAGAGACAACTTTTAATCGGCATTAAACTGCTTACTATTTCGCTAACTTGCACTATTTCGCTAACAAGAGAAAAAAGTCAGTGGCGTACATGCTATTTTTAGAAAAATATTTCATTGATAACCCATATGCACGTCCCTGGTGAATATGTCGATACTTTTTTATCTTTAAAATCATTCGAAACCCTAACTTGGAAGAAAATTATAATAAATAGAAAAAATATTAAGACTTTAACACCCTGTAGCTACCAAACAAAGCAGAATCGGACCTATGTTGGTATTAAAAATAAATCTCTTAACGTGAGGAATCTCCACATGAGAGATGGCACATATTTTTTGAAACACCCTGTATCAATGCCTTGTGCTTGATGAATATGAATAACAGGGATGGGCGTGTAAAAAACCAACAGACTAGAATCAGGGTTGGGAAGACTACATGTTACTTTTAAAAACGACATAAACTACATTACATGTAGTTTATGTAGAGGGTGTAGTTTATGTAACCGGTATGTAACTTTCAAATATCAAAGGTTTGAGGTGAGGTTCAGAAAAAATCTGGCTTTAAATATAATATTTACATCATATTATCTCTATTACACCTCATACAAATGAAAATTATTCATAATAACAATACATAGTTTGTTAACGTAGTTTTCATGTAGTTAATGAACGGAAAAAGACGTAGTTTTTAAAGAAAAACTACACGTACTTAATCAGGTAAATTACGTCTTAATTAACTACTTCCGAACCCTGACTAGAATGACTAGATTTTCGTGATCACAAAGTTTTCTACGTTTTATAAAAACGTAACGAGGTATATCTGTAATTTGTAAAGAAATATTTCATTATATTTGATCTATTTATTGATATATGTTTTATCTTGCGTAGATTTCTAAACGTAAAAAAATGGCTCATAAATGCCCATACTTGACGTAGGCTGGTTTAAATTTTGAGTTGTCGATGTCGATGCCATAAAAAAACATAAGAAGAAGAAGAGTTTTTGTTTTTGAAACGGTTTGTTTACAAATAGTTTTTTTGCTATATTCATTAGTTTATTTAATTTAAACAAGTAATGGATGAAATATGTAGAATTTGTGTTAAAAATGTAGACCAAACAAACGCAGTCAATGTTTTCTGCGAAATTCAAGGGAGAAATAAAACAGTTTCTGATACCATAACTGAATGCTCATCAATACAAGTAAACTCACGGTTATATTTCAATAAATAAAATTATCAATTACAAATTTTGTAGATACTTGACAGTGATATGCTCCCAAAAAATGTTTGCTTTAAGTGTTGCGAGCAACTTATAGTACTGAGCGATTTCCGGCAATTAATAATCAAATCTGATATACAGTTGAATGAATATGTTTTACTAGACAGCAAAATTAACGGTACCACCGAAACTAATTTCGAAGGTGCCGAGATTAACCCTTTAACTATCGAAATCTTAGTAGTGCAAATGATAATATAGAAAATAATTTAGAAATCAAAACAGAATGTTTAGATATATCAGAGGATATATTAGATGACAGAATTGATGAAACAAATTGTAGTCAATCAGATGAACAATATAAAGATAACGAGATCAATGAAAAAACCTCTAATAACTTTTTAAAAGTTGATATTTCTCAGGGTAAACGTAAACATAAGAAAAAAGAGGTAGTTTCTGTCAAATCAAGTTTGTTTCCAGTGTTTAACCTATTTCTTGTATTTTAGGAACATGAATTTACATGTTCAGTTTGTAAGAAGGTGGTTTGTGGAAGATCAAATTGCCTAAAAGTCCACATGTCAACGGCTCATTCTATTGTTGAGCCACATTCCTGTGAGATTTGCAACAAAAAATTTAAAGAGAAATTTCAATTAAGATACCATACCACGATTCATACGGGTGAAAAACCATACCAATGTGAAATTTGTTTAGGGAAATTTAGGTAAATTTCGTTCTACATTATGTATAATAAATTATAGTATTCTTAACCGAATATAGTTGCTGAAAAAATAATACTTTAGAACTCCTCAAGTCCTTTTTAACCACAAGCAAAAGAACCATATAGGCAACGACAAAAAACACAAATGCGACAGTTGTGAAAACAGATATCCTTCTCCCGGTGAACTGGAAATACATAGAAGGGACGCTCACACCGGAGAAAGGCCCTTCCTGTGCGAATTCTGTAGCAAGGGCTTTATAAGTGGCCCAAGATTAAAATCTCACATTGCAGTCGTACACAAAAAGGCAAGAAATCGATTGAAATCGTTGTATTTCCGAAAAAATTACTGTTATTTGCAGGATAAAACGTGTCCAGTGTGCAAGTTGGTGATCCACAGGTACTTTTTCAAACAGCACTTTCAAAAACACAAGGATCAATCGGAAGGCAACAAGAGATTCACTTGCGAAGTGTGCGGAAAGAGTTTTTTTGCTCTTCCGAATTTAAAGCTGCACGAGGTGATTCATACAGGGGAAAGGCCGTGTACTTGCGAGGTAAATATGTTATTACGATAATTTTACAACCGATATACGGGGTGGTTCGGAGTGTATTCTAAAAAATTATGTAGAAAAGTTATTTGTCGTAAAATGCTTCGTTTTGAAGATACAGGGTGTAGAAGTTTAATTTTTATTTCGATTTTTTCCAATATAAATTTAAAAAAATATTTTTTTTACCGGTAGCAAGTAGTGTTTTACGAGTAAAAAATAGTTTTTTTAAGTGTAACAAATAGTTTTTTACACGTAAAAAATATGTTTTTTCTGCGTAAAAAAGTTTTTTTAACAGAAACGATAAGTTTCTGACGCGTAAAAAATAGATTTTTACGCGTAACAAGTAGTTTTTGAAGCGTAAAAAATAGTTTTTTTTGCGTAAAAATGGTTTTCTTCCTGTAATAAATAGTTTTATACGCGTAAAAAATAGTTTTCTACCAGTAACAAATAGTTTTTTACATGTAACAGTTTCATTCGCGTGAAATAAAAATAGTTCTTTACGTGCAAAAATGGTTTTTTACACGAAATATTTTGATTCACTTTTACAAAATTTGTATTAAATATCAATATTTTTGATAATGATAAAAAATATTCTAATATTTGAGGGGTGGTTTCACTCCCTTAGAATTCGAGTTTCGAAAAATCCATTCTTATCCAACCTCTACACCCTAAAGTCAATCCGTTTTCCAAAAATCAGCTTTTTACGTCAAGCGCTTTAAGCAGGATCGTGATTAATCAATGACCAGATTTTTCGAAACACCCTGTATACATTTTTAAAAAATCTTATAATATGTAAAAAAACAAAATAAAATATACGTGTTTAAGCGTTTTTTCGGAAACTTGACCGTCTTTTAAATAAAAAATATTGTAATATTTGAGGGGCGGTTTCACCCTCTTGGAACTGGAATTTCGAAAAATCTTACCCTTCTTATCGAACCTCTACACCCTAGAATCAACCTGTATGCCAAAATTGAGCTTCTTACGTTGAGTGGTTTGAGCAGGGTCGTGATTATATTATAATTATAACAAGTAACCACAAATGGCAAAAAATAATTATTTATTTTACTCACACCACTGACACTAGCAGTAGATTGTGTTTGTCGCCGATTATATGCCCCGGCCTGTCCAAAATTCAGTCCCAGCATCTTTTATCTTCGTCTCTTCAACGCTAACCGCGTCGATCTCGCCTATCTCTTTCTCACAGGACTGATTGTTGAACGGGCCGGGAATCTACGAGCTTGCGACGTTACTAATTGACATCTTGAATCTTGATAGAAACTGCAGACCCAAGGATACTATAGAGATAAGGATAGTTCGATTCCTATCTTTCTGCACTGTCAGTTTTTTTACGTCATCTGGGGATCGAGTTGAAGTTGGCGCTAAAGATTTTAGACAGTGACTGTTATTTTTGCATTTGACGGACGAGCGCACAGTGCGTTGGAAGATAAATTTAGCGGGACAAAAGCCTTTGGTTAGAAATAAACCAAAAAATGTGTACTGTAAGAATAAATAGTAGACATTCCAATTGATATAAAAATGCATGAATATTCTTTGTATTTCGATACATTTTTATCAACCAAATTTGGTCGTTTTCTGCTCAGCAAGGCAAAGATCATACGAAAACAAAATATTTACAAGTGCTTATACATTTTATTCCAAAGCCAAATTATGTTGAAGATTGCCAAACGTATGTACTTTTCTACTGTACGTATATTATTTGTTAAAATCCTTCGTGCCTTTGTTCTGCAGATATCAAACTTTCACTTTTTTTCAAATATCGATATATTGAATGATGTAGATTTTTTGAGTTACCAATAGTTACCAACACAGGTAGTCACAGTCACAGGGAGTTCAAGCTTAACAGGTGAATGCCCAAAAAGTTTCATTTCAATCGGATAGTATAAAAACAAAACAACTCCATCAAAAGGCACTGAGCTTAAAAAATTGTCTTAGATACTTACTATATATGAATTTACAATTACCGAGTGTTAAAATTAAAATATCTATCTTAATTAATATTTTTAAAATAAAATATAATTTTTTAAAATAAAATATAGAGGGTGTCACAAGATTATAAAGTAATTAAAAAATAACTGCTAAAGAGTTTTTTGTAAGTATTTCACCTGATATCATAATTTTATGTATTTGGCAATAGTTTACAATACGGTTTTTGTGTGTCCTGTACGAATAATATCATAGTTTTATTATCTTGTATTTATTTATTAATAAATGAAGTTGTTAATAAATAAATAAATTTAACCATATAGTTGCTATATATTAGACCATTTGCTACGTTCTTAGATTTTAAGTCCCAAACATTGCTCTTGAGATTTTGTCCCGCTAGAATAACCATCCGCCGCACTGTGGAGCGCTGGTCAGCGCGTGACGTAGCATTCCACGGCGACTACGACAGCGGCGATTTGACGCTATCGAACAGTCCTTTAGAATATATACAGTCCTTGCTGCAGACCTGCCGCTTCTTTTGCGTGTTTTTAATGGAACAAGTCGAAAAAAACGCTTCAAAAAGCGTTTGACGCGCAAAAAACACTGTCTGTGTTGTTGCCGTGGGCTTAGATGGCTTACAAATACTTACTCCATTGTATTTTAGATCTGTGGCAAGACGTTCAATCAGAAATCCGCCCTAACTATACACAAACGAGTGCACAGCGAAGTCAGGGCTTTTGCGTGCGAATTGTGTCCGAAATCGTACAAGTACAATCAACAGCTTCAAATACACATGAAAAACAACCATCCCAATAGGAGCCAACTAAATGTAAACGAGAAATAACGCATTTTTATCTAATTTACTTTTTTTACATGTTTTTTTATTCACGTTTTACGAACTTTTTTATTTGTTGAATGACATTCTCCATATAATTTTACATATAAAATGACAGCGACATTTCGTAGCCGTCGCCGACGCCGTTTTTTTTTCGATCATATTGTATATATTACGTATTTACAATAAAATTATTTATACATACTTACCTTTGTTTTCATTTTGATTATGGAGATTTCGATCCCCGGCAGAGTTAGAACCTGGTTAGAACTTTTTTATTTTTTACAGCTGTTTTTATTCTCTTAGAGCTGTCGGCAACAGCGATCAAAATACGCCGTAGGTCAATCAGAAGCCAGAGATATGCCTAGAATGTAGAATGTTTAGGAGGGGAATTGATCATTGCGACCTTACAGATCTATTGTGTGTTCCCCTTTTTTGAGTTATAACGAGTCCCGGGGTTTTAACAAAAACCAGTATCTGAGACGGCTCCACAGAGGCCAGCTCTCCATCCTCCACATCAGCCGTACTAAAGTTCATGGCACGAATGGTCGTCATCTCGGCGCACTTAGTGATACGGTTCTGGTGTTTCCCCATTTTCCCCGCAGAATCTGCATTTGCCGTTGTTCCTCAGCTTCGGCCTACTGAGGTGTTCGTTGAGGAGACCCCGTGGATAAACCGAAGATTGTTTTTACTTAAATCAAAGAAAATCTTTGATTTTTCTCGGTCGTAAGTACTGAGGAACTTTTTCGAGTGTCTTAGACAGTTGGACTCCCGTTCCAGGTTATGAATGGAGTCTTCCAGGTTCCTCAGTTCCGCCTTTAGTTGGATTCCTCTTGGAAAACAGAACGGTTCTGGTTCAGTTGGTGGAGTGTTCGCTCCTTTTCTAGCTAGATCATTTGCTTTTTCATTGCCTTCTATCCCTTTGGTGAGCGGGCACCCAGACTAGGAGGACTTTATTTTCTTTGCCTATTTCTGAGAAGCCATTTCTGTAAAAAACACGGGTTCTACCCCGGCTTTCGCAATCTTGTATCATACGAATCTCAACTAGCAGAATTTAGCATAACACCCTTAAAGGAAAGGAGGGCAGTTCAATGATGTATCGTTTGTATTTAGTATATTATTCACCAATGTGTTCCTGTGCCGGATCTACTTGGACTTATTTATTATGTAGTACCTGATTGTAAGAAAAGGCATGTATTTTTTAAGATCTCGTTGGTTAGTTCACCATTAAACAGGTGCCTAGAGGCGGTGAATAAGTTTGCCCTAGATCACCCTGATTTTGACTTCATCTGTGATAAGAATAAAAAGATAATCTTCAACTATTTTATTAAGTCTCGTTGTTAAGTGGTAGAGTTCTTCTTTCTTATTATTTACTGTAGGTATTGTCTTTTGTATTTTTTTTAATTTGGTATTTACTGTACTGTTGTCATGGGAATATTATTCTGTTATAAGTGCAGTCTAAATAAATGATTTTGATTTATAATTTGTTCAGCTTCTCTAGGCATTCTTTGGCCAACTTCCAATTGATGGTTACTGAGTTGATTGCGTTTAGTGCTGCTTGACTATCGGATAAGATGGCTATTTCCTGTTTTCGATAGTTCTTATCTAGAGATATACCTACTGTGCAGCTATTCCAAAATGAAAAAAAAACTATTACAGTATTAGGTACTAGACTATTTTTACCTCGTAGAATTCCCTTAATGCTAGCGACGAAATATCGACTAAGTTTATAAGTTTAGCAAAAAACTTTGGTTCATTCAAGATCTACCATTGGTGCCATTCCACAAATTCCTTACCAATGATTTGAATCATTTTCGGTATTTCACCGAATTACAGAAAATTTATACCTATTATTCTTCTTATCACGCCCTCTCCTGCCGAAGGTTGGCGATCCAAATGGCAATTGTGGCTCTGGAAACTGCAGCCCGGAAGATTTCCGCAGACGAGCGTTCAAACCATCTCCTCAAATCTTTTAGCCATGAGTTCTGGCGTCTTCCTACTGATCTTTTCCCTTGCACTTTGCCCTCTATTATGAGGCACAGTATTTTGTATCTACCACCTCTCATCACATGACCCAGGTATTGCATTTTTCTTTCCTTGGTGGTGTTCAGTATCTCTTTTTGTTTCTGCATGCGCTGGAGTACTTCATCGTTGGTGATCCATTTGTACCCATGAGATTCGCAGCATCCGTCTGTATACATACATTTCAAAGGCTTCTATTCTCTTTTCGGTCTGCGAATCCAGTGTCCAGCTCTCACATCCATAGAGTAACACAGAGAAGACGTAGCATCTGGCCATTCGAGTTCTGAGTTCCGCACTGAGGTCTCGTCTTGTAAAAAATGATTTCATTCTCACGAAGATTTTTCTCGCTTGCTCGATTCTTGAAAATATTTCTCTTTTCGGGCCGCACTGACTATTGATGTTAGCTTCTAAATATCCTAAATACTACCTGATACCTATTATACACAGGTCTTATTCTTCAGAAGATTTAAATATACGCTGGTTACTTGGAAAACCTTAGCCTTTAATATATCCATAATCGATGTTAACGGAATCCACAATTTTTTAGCTGACATTTCCTACCCATTTGTTGTTGAAATATGGATGATCTCCTGTTGATATGTAGTTATTTTTACTCCTTACATTCATACATACATACTCATACTGCCATTACTCGCCGACGAGTATTGGACACGCAACAGAAGATGGTCAACGCAAGGCGTTTTCTTTCACGAGCTTTTCTGTGACTGAAAAGCCCGATACGTGATGTTATCTCTCTTCCGCACTCCGGACATTCAAAAATTTCATTACTTTGTTGCCTCTTTACTATTTGGTTGCCGTTGTTAACTGAGTTTACAATTCTTCTCAATCCACTTATCTCCTTTAAGTTTTCCTGGAAAATATTCTTGTACCTTTTGAGTTGTCCACCCGGTTTCCTCTTACCGTCTACAAGTTCACTGTAAAGAAGAAATTTTTATTAGGCGGTGTTCTTGCATCCTGCATACGCGACCAGCTCATCTTAAGCGGGATTTAGTAACCATGACTTCGACGCTTTCGCAGCTGGATTTTTCAAGGACCGATACGTTTGAGACATGGTGGAACCATTTGATTCTTCAAAAGTTGTCTAAGGTGTCTCTGTTGCAACTTGTTTAATGCGTTCGTGTGTCGGCGGTACGGTACCCTGGTTTCGCTTCCATATACCATGGTGGGGATTATTATTTCTCGGTACACTGCAAGTTTCGTTTTTGTTAACCAAACCATGTTTTTTAATTTCCGGAATACTCTTGAGATGCTGCTAATCCTGTGCTGAATTTCATAGTCGATATTGGCCTTTTCCGAAATCAAACTGCCGAGGTAATTCCACTACATATTCTAATTCCAGTTTTTCAAAAAATTTTGGTCCACTATTGGTGCCAATCTACAAATTACCAATTATTTTAATTTTTCTGTATTTTACAGAACTACAGAAAATATATACCTACACAGGTCTTATACATCAAAAGATTTAAATATACGCTGGTTACTTTGATAAACCTTAGCCTTTAATATATCCATAATCGATGTTAACTGAATCCACAATTTTTTTAGCTGAAATTTACTACCCATTTGTTGTTGAAAAATGGTTGATCTCCTGTTGATATGTAGTTATTTTTACTCCTTTCTAATAGAGTAACATCAAAAATATCGTCCTTAGTCCTGTACGCAGAATATCCTGTTAATCTGTTAAGTTTTATTTTATGATGAAAAAAAAAACATACTTTTTGTGTATCCCCATTTAAAAAGATAGTCTATAGTCTAGGTAGAATATCCTGTTAACTTTGACTGCTACGTTTTATTACACCTTTTTATTTTTTTTATCTAGATTTTTATTTTGTGAAGATAAAAAATACCTTTCGTGTAAACCTTCTATTGAACTGGACCTACCAATATATTCGTTGGAAATTATTATTTCTTCACCAAAGAAAGCTTTTACACTAAATAGGATATTTCTATTCCATAGAAATTTTAATATTTGTTATTCAGTAAACAAGGTAATGATGTAGAATGAATGGGAGGGGGGGGGTATCACCACGACCTTAAAGATCTATTGTGTCCCCCTTGCGTACCTTGAGTTATAACTTATAACACATATCACACATGAGGCTTTCCTGTTGTAGGGGCTACAATAAGGGTATCTCTTTCTCTGTTGCCTCCTTGGATTTGAGGTCAATTCCTATTGTGAGGACTTGACCTCCTCATTCGAGTTGATGACTCGCCATCTCGATGTCCTTACATTAGAGTTCTGAGCCTGGATATGGCTCAGCAGGTAGGTGGTGTCTTTCCTTTGCTCCTGGGGAGAAAGACCGTGACAGTTGGTAATTAGGCACTACTTTGGTAGTGCTATGGTGAATATATCCAATATTTTTAGTGCTTCCTCGTACTAATTTTCCTATTTACTTGCAAAATGTATCCAGTTGCGATGTTAACTTCATGCCAAGATGCTTACTAATTTTTAACTTTTCCTTATCATAGAATATTCTACTATTCGACCGATTCTAACAATTCTCCTTAGCAATGATTTTTTTACTTTTTTCTACTTTATTACATAAAATATCCTGCACCAAAGGAAGCTTTCAGTTCAACAGTTGGATCCAGCAAAAAATTAGTACTTACTTCACTTTTTTATTTTCTATAGTTATAAAGCTGCTTACAAATCTTCAATTTTTAATAGCGTATATTTTAATCCAACCGATACTGTCGATCTTGATATCAATCTCTTGACAATATACCTATCATAATTTCCTTTTTTTCAAACTAATTACACAAAATATGTATATACATACACATTCACCTTTTAAAAAAAAATCAGCAGAAATATTCTACTTATTTGTTGTCCTTCTTATCCTCCTGGTTGATGGAAAAAGTCTGCTTCATCAAACAACTTAATACAATAGAATGTATTCTTGTACTATACCCCCTATTGCTGACCTGTTTCTTGTCTAAGAAACTTTTCAAATTGTACTATGGATAAGCTGGAGATCTTTATTGTGTGATCCTGATAGGTACCTTTCTTATGTAAAATCCCCGTTATTTTGTTACAGTAGAATACAATGAAGCTTCTTCGAGATATTGTTTCAAGCTTTCTTTTAGTTCATAGAAGCTTTTTAGTTCATAGAACAATATATGAAGATTTTGGAAATCAATATATAAAGCTTATAACTTGC